GAAATACATGAAACCCAAGTATGTGGAGATAAATGAATGATACATTATTATAACTTCAGAGAAAATAATATAACCTTTCTCTAATTAAAATAAAACCCTTCAAAATGGTTTAGTACTCGATATATATTGGTTTAATATATTATGAGTTAGATTAAATACGGCCTAACGTTCTGGATGCTTTGCAACAGCCATGGTCACAAGAGGATGATATTTTGATTTGGATTGAGATTTGGTGGGGGGTTTAAATAATCTAACATTTTTAATAATAAAAAGTCTTATATTAGCGTAAAATTTAAATGTTGACTACTTGCGTAGTAAGCGATGTTATATTTTCTTAAATGAAAGGAAGTTTACATTTTATTTTCAAACATCCGGCTACTGCAAGGCTTCCGAAACGTCGGGCCGTACTTATAATAATTTTTAATTAAGTTTAACTAATATATATCGCGTTTTAAACTGTTAAAGTGTTGTATTCGAAAGATATTACGTTATTGATCCAAGATATGTATAAAGAAAAATTATAAGACCCTTATTAAAAGGTAGACATGGTTGTAAGCTAGCTGGGATACTAATAACATACAAAATGCCAGTATAATAGTGTTAAGCTCAGTTTCCCACGGTCGCCGCACATCACTTGCAGTTTCACGCAGAACGAGGAGGTCACGAACTAGTGATGTAACCACGCTGTAATCGATGTTTATCAAATTCGCGTTTTTGCAAAACAAAACGTGCAGGCTATTAGAGTACTATGAGAAAAGTATTGGGACACGGCGATATAAGATTTATGTTAACAGTGACTTGATTCTACATAATTATTGTATAGAAAAATCTATACAACGTATAGTATAGTTTTCTGTTGACAGCTTATGTTTAATTGAATAAAATAGCAACACTTACCCTTATGTGTAGTTTAAACGCTGGCAACATTTTTTTCTTTATCTTATAGATGCAATTGCATCTTAGATGGGTAGAATTACTAAAATTCTTGTAATACAGTATTCATAGAGTAAGGGTTTATTTAGAAAAAGCCCTATCAAATAGCTCAGCACAAAAATAACAGATCATATAACCCTAAAGTACTGACCTGAATGTGTAATATAGCGGTTTAAATTGTATTTTATTTTCATCATTGCCATAGAAATATATAGTACTTAATAATTATATGTATTATTAAAAGTTTATTATCGAAAATACTGTGACATCACTGATTGAAACAATAATGATGATCTTTAAGCCAGTGGGTAGAACTAAAGCGTGAGTCGTCTTTGCTCCAAATAAACCACAGTATAATATTACTAAACTTACGTAATATGATAATAATATTAAATTATATAATAATTACTTTACCTCATTATATTTTTTGTTTTGATAATAATTATTATAATATGTTTATTTATAGTATTTTTTTAATAAATCTCAATTTACAACAGCTCTTGAGTACTACAAAACTTTCAGTTATTTGAGTTTATAGAGCTTTTTAGAACCGAGGTGGTTTGATCTCAGGGTGTTTCAGCTAATATTACAATCGAGTATAAAAATACTTACTTAGCACACTGAAACAACATCTCAATCTAGTGTCAGTGGGTCATTGAGCTGTTAGCAAACATCTTGTTCAGTTGTTTGTTAACAGCTGTTTGGCAACAGCTCCACAAGCGCCTAAAATATTTTTAAGAAGTGACAATACTATTGAAGATTTGATTCCGTAAGTTCACTTTGCTTTTAAAAAACTGGAAGGATTATTATTTTAGCTTTTCGGCTAAAGATCGCATAGTATGAATATGAATATGATCGAATAGCATCACATTTATGAAAAAAATCACGATTATAAAAAAAAAATACCTTACCGGTGTAGGTATTTATTTATAACAAGTCCACGAAAACTGTATTTGAGGAAAACAGAACGGTCTGACAGACTGGTTATTTTTAATATGTTAAACTTTTCTTTTTGTGCAATACGGGACATAATATCAACGGCGGCAGACAATCACTGTGATTTTATTTTTAGGTAATGTGCCAGCACGATACAAGTATTTATAGTTTTGCATATTTTTATTGATTATTTTGCACATGCAGTGCAGAAATAGATACTTTGATTGCGTATTTGTAAGTCATTAAATCTGGATTGAAATGGAATTAAAGAAGTGATACTTAACAATATTTAATAAAACGAGATCTGTTCTTATCTGTTATAGCTTATCTTAGTAAGCATTGATCAATAAATAAAAAAATAACTAAGCAACAGATATTATAACATACGGAGTTCTCTATATTGTGTTATTGCACTATAATATAAAAAAATAAAGCAAAACCCAACACTTGAGCGAGCAGTAGTTGCAAACAAACAAAACACAGGTGCAGAAATTCACGTAAAATCGACAATAATATAAACATTTTATTTTGAACAATAAATATTTAATAAAAATTATATGTTCTTTGCAGTTAAATTTGAGAGAAAAGTAAATATGTTTCTTGTTCAATTCGTATTTTGGAGGTAGCCTTGCATTAATGTTAGTTCAATTTTGTTAGGAAATGATTTCTAGTTCCTTACGTCGTCACTAGAGGCGCTTCTATTTGTACCATATACACGTTAACCAACATTTGTCAGGAAGGGTCGCCGCACACTACATACCCCTACTACAAAACGCCATTGCCATGTTTTCTTTTAGACAGAGAATATGGAGAATAGATCGATATAATCATATTGAGACCCTATAATTGGTTGAACTAAGTTTCCGCTACTCTCTCGTATATAAAATCTGTGAAAACTATAGATGTTTAATGATTGTGTATGTGTGCGCAGACACTAATGTGTGTAATTCGTGCTTAAGACACAAGTTACGGTTAAGGAAACCTGTGTGAGTATAATTAAAGAAATTCTTCAGTGTTCCTTCCACCGGCGGCTGTAGCACGCGCCGGTAAAGTCTCGTGTCTTGTCACGATCAGCATACTAAAATAAATATTAACTAGAGCTCGATAATTGCCATTTAATATAATCTGTCATTAGTGACCCACATATTTCATTTATATTATAGGATATTTAAGGACACTTCGCTTGAGGAAATTGTTAATTGACTGAAGTGCTACACACAGAAGACAACAGGTATTATTTGGATTTTTTTTCTTCTTAAATCTAAGAGGAAAGCATAAATATTTTACCGTTTTTTATATTTAATGTGTTTTTTAAAATGCAGTTTATAAATAATGTATCGATATAAAAATTGTCATAATTTTACCTCCATATTAAATATATATTTTGTAGCTTATCAGTAAATCTTACTTATTCATTGAAGTAATGTCTCATAATATAATACTGTTTTTGTCATATTTTTTGCCGGCACACTTTTATTTCTTTGTTCCAATTGATATACTAATAATTTTCCATTCATTTTCATATTCTTATATATGTAGTAGCTATTAATTCCTTTCTTATTTTCACGAATACTAAGCAATGAAATTATTCTTGCCGCGATTTGTTGGCAATTAAGCAAAATTTTATAATTATACGTCATTTAATGGTCTTACCAGTTGACGTTACTTTCCTTTCAACTTTAATAAAGTTGGCATACAATAAGTTAAGATAGAGAAGCTTTTAAACCTTTAATTGTATTACAATAAAGAAGCCCCAATAAAACTCTTATATTGCATTTACTTATAAACTACTTAATTAAGTGAAATCAGGTTTTCCCTGTATGGGGCATAGGGCAAATATTCATTTACAGACCAAGCTACTGATCAGATTTCTGCGCACATCCGACTCAAAGAATTTTGTATCCCCGAGATTCGAACTCAGGACCTCTGAGGCCTAACTCTGCACCATTGAGGCACGGAGGATGTCGAACTTCTCTTTGTTTCTAGATTTGAACATTCAGGTTTAAACTCAGTTTTAAATACTCTATTTTGACTTATTTAAAAACACATCTTTACAAAAATGTTGGCTTTATAACAAACCAAAATTTAAATATTTTACTGTAAATATAAAATCGCATATATATGTATAATAAGTAAATTACTGCAATAAGTGATTGATCGAAGCTATTATTAAAGGTATTAGTCGCAGATTTAATTTTCTCATGACAAGCTATTATTAACGACTTAGAATTGTTAGAAAAAAAGCAAATTACCTCGCCAACAATAATGGAATAACTACAGCAATTGAAAGGTCTTAAACGCAAAATAGAAAATAATCTTTTAGTACGACCCGACGCTTGGAACTTTGAAAAGTATACTTTGCTAGAAAACCTTCCCGTGGTTATGGTTTAAAAATTTAGTAACTGCGACGGGATATGGATCTAGCTAGTACCTAGATTATATATTTAGCAGTACCTTATTTACTGAAATTTCAATGCATAGTGTCATTCTTTTATTGTATGTATATGTAAATAAAACAAAATTATCGGAAACTGGCAGAAAACAAAAAAATAGCAAATATTTCAAGGTCAATTCGAGACACGTCAACTGATTTAATTAGACTCAATGTATATAGTCCGCTGTAATTAAATACCATAACAATATCCCATAACTTCATAATTAGTTTAAAATACCTAAAATAAAAGAATCTCAAGTGATAAAATAACTTGTAAGTGAATTCAAACTAGGAAATTACATTAATTTGCATTTCGCACTGAAAAAATTCATACACTGTGTGTAAAAATATTTATGTTCACAATATTAATTACTTACGTTTAACTTGAGTTCTTATCTTAGTGATAAAAATCACGGACGTTTGGGTAATAACAAATAGAATATTCATTAAATGCGCGTAATGAAAACTCGAAGTGGACTGGTTTTAGTTTAGCATTTTGTACACGTTTTATTTTAATGTTAGAAGTGGACAGACATGAATTCTTCCTCACAATTTTTTAAATTTCAAAAATATTAAAATTTCGTAATCCATAAAATGTACCTAAAATTTAGACTCTCATCATGAACGTATTAGCAAAAAACGATAACTTCAATTAATACCTGAACAGGCAATATTGATGAATGTTTTATTTCTAGCAATGGTTCGTGTGAAACTAACACCAGTTGAAGACGAGTACACCAAGAATCCAGATATCAGACCAGAAGACATACGGAAATTACGAGAATGGCTTGAAACCCAGCCCCACTTACCTGGACAATATATCACTGGTAGATTTTGTTTTTAAATATTATTACCATTGTTATTTTTCGATGCAAGCCACATATTTGAGAAATGTATAAGAAAATATAAAATGCCGTAAGTGGCATTAAAAATGCATTATTGGAGGGATTATTTTCAAATGTCACAGTAAAGACTAGATGTGCCAACAGTACTTGTCGCATTGACATGTACTGTTGGGGATATTTTTTACATCATATAAAAAGAATCATTCTCTATCATACATACAATTATGTTTTGGGGATCTTGAACCAATTTCTCAGCGCACGCACTTGAAAGCGTTATAATAATAATTTGTTTACCCTTTATTCCTTCCACCAGAATTAGAATTTTCAATTCAAAAGAGTAGTTCCTGAGATTAGCGCTTTCAAACAAACAAACGACCAGAGATTTTTATCCATTTTTAAAGTCGTTGTTTTATGCTTCTTATTTCAAAATACAGTCAAAAGAAATTCTTGTTAAAATTCAGGAAACGCACTGCACAGCTATCTCGTAGCTTCGTCTATGTTCATGCTTTGATATCGAAACACGTACATCTTACAAACTTAGTGTTTTTCTTTGACCCTTCACTTATGTATTCATGAGTGAAGTCCTTATCGAGTCATCTATGCGTATAACTGCTATCGATGGAGATTTATCTCGAAGGTTATGTAGCATATAATTCCATTAAAATTATAGCTGTTCTATTTAACTAAATTTCTCCTCTTTGCGAGCCCAAATCTAGCCCTGACTTCGTGATATTGGTAGAAACCTTAATTGGTATCTTAGGATAAGGTAAGGTACCACTTTCTTATAAAAAAATCTAAATAGTAGTTTGTATAATATGGGATTGTTTACGTCCTTTATAAATAAAAAACGAATATACCTAAAGAAGTGAAATCTAAGTATATATGTAAGATATTAAAAATATATACATAAGTATGTATAAATATAGGTTTCCTTTTTTTGTGGCGACTGCATTTGATTCCATAAATATGTAAATATTAGTACTATCTGACTTTAACACAAATAGAATAAGCACTTCGTATGTAACGTCTATTCAAACTGTATGAGGTCAACAAAGTGACAATATTGTCATAAAGCAATACAGCTCTAGTATCAAAGAAACCATTCAAATAAATACGTGATTCTTCACACATGGAAGGTACATATTGACTTATCTATTTATTTAAACGAAGGGCGACTTCAAATATTGAACACCAGGTCTAACATGTTTGTAAATTTATTTGTGATTATAATGAAAAAGGGACAAGAATCGAGAAAGCTGTCCTCAGTTTTCCAACGATACACGACAGTTTGCAAGCAATTTTTTGGTCACAAGCTCATCTAAACAATAAATGGGGTTTAAATAAAACACTTTAACGGTTTAAAACGCTCTTATGCTTTGCAGCAGCCGTGGTCACGGGGAGACCAAAACGTTGGGCCGAAATTTAAAATCATTTTAAAATAAATTTAACTAATATATCGCGTTTTAAGCCGTCAAAGTTTTTTTATTTAAAACAAAGGTTAATATAAACAAAGATAAAAAGAAGTACATATTACTTGCTCTCCTTAAAATTTAAATGTAATTAATATCTCTCCGTTTAAGTTTCGTATTTAATTACAGAATGCATTCGACTTTGATCATTTACTTGTAACATAAGATTGTTTATATTTGACACTCTTAACGTTTTTTTTCTTCATATAACCAGTCATCGGAACAGAGGATAATAAATGAATATTATTATCGCAACCAGAATCATTGTCTAAATCACATAAGCCATTGCGATACATAAACAAGTATAACCGTAGAATTTTAATAGATTTTGTATCCCATTATTATTGTTACGACACTGATGTTTTTTTTTACAAATGTTTACTAGTATGAAAAAGTCAACCTTAAACACGAATATATTGCCAATGTTAATGATACAGATGAGTTTACCGTGATCCTGATCCATCAATTAAGATCCTGTCAGCAGCCTGTGGTGGTCGAATTTATAAATGATTTTTTTCATGCTATCCGTGCTTTCGGAATTTTAACCTGAGTACCTCCTTAGGTGTTGCTGATCAATGTCCTTTGCTTCCTAGCAAGGAATATCGAAACGAAATTACAATTATTTAACGCTTGATCGTCGTTACTATTATTTTTTTGTGGAGACACCGACAGAAGGCCGGGTGATCCATATAATCTACTGATTTCGCCCTATTTCAAAATCGTCGTCATATTCATTGACTTGGTTGGTTCCACACTCAGTAAATTTTCTCTTTATTGCAGAATAATAAATAATAATAAAGATTTTAATAATTCAATATTATATTGTATTCCTGAACTCCATAAATTGACTATGTTTCTTCTTACGCAGATTTAGACTTGGTCCTTGCATATCACAGCTGCGAATGTAGTGCGGAGGTGAGCAAGCAGGTGTTGGATCTTCACTACACGCTAAGGACATTGTTTACATCATTCTGTCATAATAGAGTTTTGGACCAGAGGCTACGGACTACTCTCGACACAGTGTACGTAGAAATATTTTGAAGCAATTTTGTTTGTGAAAACTTGTAACTTTTTTCACATATTGGTCGGTTAGTAATAAATATTTCATGTGTAATAACATAAAAACCACTTAGTATAGTAACGCTACGGAAATAAGATATACATTTCACGGCGAAGGTAAAGCTAAAAGTATTCGTTGCAAGACGAATAAAAAACATACATTTAAATTACAGTTGTGGTTTTAATTTCCTTATAAAAAACTTTAAATGTTAAATGTTTAAATTTAAATAAAAAATGTAATAAGTATGTTTTAATCGTTCATAAAATTAAAAACTTTTATTATTCCACGACATACATAAATAACACACAATATTAACCGTAGAATAAAATAAATATTAAAAGAAGAACAAAAGAATTTTCTTTAATGCTTATTATTTTTTAAGGTTTGATAAAGTGTACAATTGACAATTGTTTTAACGATATTATGTAAATACATATATATCAGTTTTCGGAACCCCTTCATTGAGTCAACTTCAGATAAACTTTGTTTTTAATGGCTGGTACAGTATGTCGTAACCGATAACTTTTAATATTGCAATTTGAGTATCTACATAGCTTGATTATTATCAATAAGTTGGTTTGTCACATTTTAGATTTTTATTCTTTAGATTAAAAGTAACTTTAAAACGAAATATATTTCTACTTTACAACTAACTGATACTCTATTTATATTGTAGACTGGTGCAGCCACTTTCCACACCATCGGTGCATGGCTACCGCACGTTTTACTGTCGACTTACCAACCCTGAAGCGAGATATTTTATCTTCTCTGATGTCATTAAGCTGTTCTTAATGATTTTTGATTTGTGTCAATATGAGGAAGGCATTTGGCCCGGGTAAGTTTCGAACCTTAGTCTAAGCAAAGTGAGCATACTGTCTATAGTTTACGCGAGTAGTACACATTTAAATAAAACACTTTACGTTTAACGCGATATATTAGTTAAACTTATTGGAAAATGATTTTTAACTTCGTCTCCCCGTGACCACGGCTGCTGCAAAAAATCCGAAACGTCGGGCTGAAGTTAAAAATAATTTCAAATAAGTTTAACTAATATATCGCGTTTTAAACCGTTAAAGTGTTTTATTCAAAGTACGCATTTTTACATTTATAATGTTAACTCATATAGATCGCGTTTTGAGCCGTTAAAGTGTCTTATTTAAATTTTTACATGTTACCAAAAACCGTTTTGAGAGTAGTACGAGGTAGATGTAATCCCATTGCCTTAGTAGTAGTACTACTCACTAATAACCATGCTGGTTATTATTGAGTAGCTTTAAACATGTGTAGTAGAATAGTGGAAGGTTTACTGTCACGATTAACTTTACTGTTAGGTTAAAGAAGATTTTTCTTAAATACTGTCTATAGTTTACGCGAGTTAGTACACATTTAAATATACTTTAACGGTTTAAAACGCGATATATTAGTTAAACTTATTTGAAAATGATTTGCCGTGACCACTGGTGCTGCAAAGCATCCGAAACGTCGGGTGCAGATAATAAAAATCATTTTCAAATAAGTTTAACTAATATATCACGTTTTATACCGTTTAAGTGTTTTATTTAAAAGATTTTTCTTATTTAATTTTTTTAATATACCTACCGTAAGGACCAGAAAGGTCGGTTAAACATAAAAGATAAACATAAAGAAATATTTAAATAAACACAAAAATAAGTTATGCAGATGTTCGTTGCTTATTCAGTTGAAATAACAAAAATACCATCATTACAGATTTGTTTTAATGATAGACATGGACCAGGCAACGCTGGGTCACATCGCGAAGCTGGACGTGATGACTATTAGACAAGTGCTGTATTTCCTTCAGGTGAGAGAAATTTGGTAACAGATCTAAAATATACAAAAAATAAAAGAAATGTGCTACTGAAATATCGTTAATAATAATATGCAATAAAAAGAACAAATAAATATATATTGTCATTAAAGAAATAATAATTGTCTACTCCATAAAGAGCTTATATGGTCATAGTAAAAATATTTAAGAACTACAAGAACAAGGGCACTTATCTATCTGTCTATTTGTTGGGCGACCCTCTGCGACCTTAGTCTGGTCAAACATAGACCACCAAACCTTTCTTTGTGTGTCTCCAATCTCTGGCTTTCAATGTCCTAAGTTCTTGTTCAACGTCATCATGTCAACGCAATCTATGCATGTCATATCTCAGTAGACCATCTCTTCTCCTCCATTCGAGTAACGTGTCTGGCGCAAACTAACGGCACGACATAGAATTTCAAATCGCTCTTTATGAGTGCTTAATACTATATGATTATTTATCTCTGTTTAATTACAATAACATTGTGAATCATATCAAAGTATTAGACAATTGTATTTACGATCTTATAATCATCTGTCATAGGATTCTATATAATAGAGTTCCGGCTATGGCAACAAAGTACTCAATTACTCTACATTTTACAGGAATGTATGCTGGTAAGATTAAAAGAAGTACACTTTCTAAACGCACCGAGCTTCATGGATAAACTAATGATGCTGTTAAAACCATTTATGAAGAAGGAACTGTTAGATATCCTCCGAATACATCAACGAGATTCAAGCACACTCAAAGCGTTTGTAGACAAAGACTCTTTACCTAAGGAAGCGGGAGGTCAATTTGAGAGTGTCAGCAAATTAAAAGGTAACAAGTAAGGTTAAGTAGTAAGCTACTACTAATACTTGAAGGCTGAAGTCTTGATGGGAAGGCGTCCAATATTGATTGCAGATGAAAAAGCAATTGTTTAATTTTAGTTCGTTCAGCACATGATTGTCTTTCGGGCTGTTCGGCCGACGTGAGGGAGAACCTCTTCTCGCGGTCGGTAAGAGGCGGAAGTCGGTCGAACAGCCCAAAAGACAATAATATGTAGGACGAGGTATATTCGAAAAAAAAATGATATTGGTTTAGATAATTTCGAAATTTGCGCACATTACGCAGTTCATTTTCATATTATAGATAGCAAAAAAAGAAAATTATACACCGTAAACGTCAATATAGTAGTTTAATAAAAACCGTCATAAATAATTAATATAGACACAAAAACGAATAATATCCTAACAAACAAATGTGAAATGTAAGCCAAGTTCAATATTATGATGACTTGATTGTTGATATCAACAATAAAAGAAGTGAGATCTAAATGATATTATGACCAAGTCCAACGGTCAGCCGGGCCGTACTAAAAATAATTCTCAAATAAGTTTAACTAATATATATGGGGTTTTAAACCGTTAATGTGTTTAATTTAAATGTGTACTACTCGGGTAAACTACACACGTGCGTTTATTATAAACATTCGGATGAATCATATGAGATAGAGAATGATGATTCTTCAATGTTATATCACCTGCATACACGTATTTGTTCGAACGCAAGACGCATGAAATTCCGTAAAAGAATGAGTTTCCTTGTTAATAACTAATAATAACAAAAGAACTGCGTTTACTTGTGCGGAACCTGAGGATCAATTATTAAGTGCTAAACGACCTGCTATTATTTCCAGTACGAAGCTCTATATTTATACTAAATAATATACAAGTATAAGGATATATAATTAATAGTATGGCGTGCAACAGACGTAATTAACTGTTTATTTTAGTTTAACCTTTCAGTGTTGGGTACGGCTCTGGGAAAACATAGCTTCCATCTCATCACAGCACATTAGTCTGATCAACCACATACTTGTATTTTACGCGAGTAGTACACATTTAAATAAAACGCTTTGACGGTGTAAAACGCGATATACCTATACATTAGTTACAACTAACTTGTGTGATTTTTTTTAACTAGAGCCCGGCGTTTCCCGGTGACCGTGCCTGCTACAAAGCATCGGAAACGTCGGGCCGTAGTTTAAAATAATTTTCCAAAGAAGTTTAACTAATATATACCGCCTTTTAGAACGTTAGTGTTTTATTTAAATAGGTACTTATTTGTAAATAGTAATCGATGATTAAAACGAGTCAGCCCAATGATTCGTTAATACTACTTTGAAAGCATCTTAGTGCATTTATTTAATTTTACAATCGTCGTCTCTTTGTTGTGACACTAATTAAATCATACTTAGCAATTACAATTGTTCTAGTTTTTAATTACACTCGTAGTATAAAGCTTTAGTTTATCTTTTTATAAATAAACCCAGCAAACGTTGTTTTGCTTTAGAAATTATAATTATGTAATTTGTAATAATACAAAAAAAATATTTTTTTGTATTAAATTCACGCTTCCATTTCAGAAGAACAGTTCCACCGTATAGAGGATAATCTGGACTTGTTCACTGAGGAAAGTAAAAAGCGTGTAGATGAAGCTCTTCGCCCAGGCAAGAAGACTACGATAGAAGATATCTTCGGTATCCAGGGTAGCTTCAAGAAGCTTGACATCGACTAATTAAAAAACTAAATTAAGCTATAATTATAATTAATATCTCACAAAAGACAAAGAAATAAGAAAGTTTAAATAAAACACTTTAACGGTTTAAAACGCGATATATTAGTTAAACTTATTTGAAAATGATTTTTAACGCCTCCTCATGACTACGGCTGCTGCAAAGCATCCGAAACGTCGGGCCGAAGTTAAAAATCATTTTCAAATAAGTTTAACTAATATATTGCGTTTTAAACCGTTAAAGTGTTTTATTTAAATGTGCACTACTCGCGTAAACTATAGACAGCATTTAAGTTTAATTAACTAGTGTGACACAAGGGTGCGGTACCTGCTCCATAATAGCTTCCTCTGCTAGGGTTCAGCCTTCTATATAGGGGCCAAATTCGTCTTGGCATTCGACATCGAACGTTTGGTATTCAAGAGTTTATCATTGAACAGCATGTATTAGCAGAAGCTGTGAAACACGAACAATTAGGGTGCACGACTGGGAGTAGAACATGGGACTTCTGTTCGTTAGATAACGTAATTGGATGCTATTAATGTTATCAATCTTAATTACAACTAAGCAATAAAAAATCCTTCACTTAGCAAAGGTACCAAGAAAGAAAGCACATTAAAAAAAGTAATTTATACTAACCAATAAAGCTGAAGAGTTTGTTTGTTTGAACGCGCTAATTCAGAAACTACGGGTTCGAATTGAAAAAAATATTTTTGTATTGGTTAGAGCATTTAACGAGGATGGCTATAAAACATCGCCCTGTGACGAACAAGCCAAGATACAGCGAGGAGTGTAAAAAAAGTACGCTGCAAATACGGTTCAAGATACCCAAATATATGTATTAAGGAATGATTGTTTTCTATTGATCTAAAAAAAAGTCTGCGACGCTATCTTTTAAGAATCACTTGCAAAATCGACGGGAAAGGACGCGACTGACGTCGTGGGTAACAGCTTAAAGATTGCCCAAAGTAACGATTCTCGCAGACGAAGTCGCTGACACAGCTAGTATTAAATAAAAACTCATAATAGAATATAAAACTGAGATAATAGGTAGTGGATTAGGTGGCTCTTAAACAAACATTTTAAAATGGTATGTACGGACTATTTAAAGAATACATTAAGTATCTAATACATGGAGTCCCTTCTGCAGAAATGTCTACCTGGCAATTAATCTAGCTATACAGACTTAAGTGATAATGTAATATTGTTTATAATACATTTTTAAAATAGAACAACTATGGTTATTATATGGCGGTTAAAATAAATATAGTGAATTTTTACTTGTTTTGATGTGGGTTAGTTTTTCAGGAAAAACATGGCTTGCTAGGGGCCATTTAATGAAAGATTCTATGACATCTAATTAAGATGTGCGGTCGGCTTATTTTGGCTTTGGGTATGCGGAAACCACTCGTTTAGTTGTGGCCAGTTTATGTCCCGGTTTTTTTTTAATCGGGTGTGGAAAATGTCGGTTTACATATCGAGTCTATGACCCGTTTCTCATCAGCTACCATTGTACTGTAATCCTTTTGTAAGTGACTAAACGCTTCCTTATCATAGACCTGTAAATATTGAAATTATGTAATTAAAATAATATTTCTCAACGCTCTGTCGCCTGATAAAATAATCCCTAAATGATACAATTATTATTTACATACAGTAAAACTATTTTTCATTTTTAATGCGTTATACAATTTTCGTTCCTATTAAACCACATTTAAAGCGGATAATCGTATGAAACAATAATGGGTTTTATTTATTTAACGACTTGTACATCATGTTGTACACTGGCTATATAAAGTTGATATGTGTAAATCTGGCGATTGTCACTGGTCAGTGGTGTTTACAAGATGAAGTTGCTTCTACTGCTTGTTGCTGTCATGGCAGTTGTACTTGCCGCTGTGGTAAGTTTTTTAAACGTTTTAGTTTATGGGTTAAACGTTTTTCCTTCACACACGTGACGTTCTGGGTTCAAATCATTGGGAAACAATGAATTGTTCGGCCGTGACGGTTATAGAGTGATGACCAACTACTAGTTTACTATAATATGTAACGGACACAGAAGTGTGTTCACCGCATTCTCCATTTCCCAATGAAAGTGACTTTTTTTATTTAAATATCATCTATTCCATCAATTAGGGATAACATGTTGTCTAAACAAGTTTTTTTACTATTCACCACGATTTTGTGGAGCCAAGTCACAGATACAAAATATACTGTCATAGGCTTCGTATGGTTTATCATTGAAGATATAAACACTAGTACCTAGTACTAAAGACCCTTAAAACGAATTTAGCCCTGACCGACACATTTATTAAATATCTAGTTGTTTTATAACTTCTCAGTATTTTTACTCCTAATAAATTTAAGGGTGCAATGAGCCATGGTGTAAGACCCGCCCTGCACGCTGAGGAAAAGCCAGCCGGTTGCCGTGGAATGGGTCCTCCCCCACCACCACCGAATCCGACGAGTAAGTACATACCTTTTAAATACCTGTAATTACAGTTCATGATAAAGAGATTCAAAGTAATCTGTGTTAAGCATGGTCTGTAGTCTACGCGAGTAGTACCTACATATTTTAATATGACACTTGTGGTTTAAATAATTTTGGTAAATGAGTTTAACTAATATATTTTTTTCCTTTTAAACAGTTAGAATTGATTTTAGATGATTTGTGATATCTACCTACTGGACTATTTATTTAACAATTGTTTATATCGTTATAATAGCATTTTGACAATTTGTTATTAAATTTGTATCGCATTTTCTTTTATGGCGTCATAAGTAGGCTTTGACATAAATTTGTTTATATTAACTTAATAGTTAATTTAAAAGACAATTTAAAGGTAAAAATAATTCAATCCGAAGAACGAAACTTTTTATGTTTCACGAAGGCATTGCATCAACCGATTAAATGCATTTTAACTAATGGAGTGTCAAACTAACCTTTATTAGTGATATAATTATTGTTTGTAAAATTAAGAAGATTTTATATTTTAAACTAACGTTTGTCCTTTCAGATGCCACAGGCTAACGATTTAAACATGAACCTACGCACAATATAAATGGACCAACGGACAAAATTACTTGTAATTTATTTAAATAAACTGATAAACGGGCATTGATTCTTTGATTTCAACGTCATAAAACGTTGACATTTTACGAATAAAATCCGCCGTTAATTGCGCATACGTTTATAGTTTTGAATTGAAGTTAATTTTAGTTAGTTACATCCCTAGCTACTAAGAGTCTGTTGGCAGCATAACTACATAGATATAAAATAACTTTTATTCTATGAACATAGTGTACACAAATGAGAAAAATTGAGAAAAATAATAATTCCAAATGTATTACATGTTATATTAATATAGACGTATGAAAATATAAAAATACAAAACGGTAATTCTGTCATAAATACCTAAAAGATGTCATATTTACAAACAGCTTAAAAATAAGTACATTGTTAAAAAATTGACTACAGGTCTCCCCGAAACAGCGTTTCTTTGTAAATATATAGATTATGCAAAATATTTAGTAATCGTAATAATGATAATGCCTAGTAGTCCAATATATAAAAAGGGTTTGATCAATGTATATCGCAATAAATTTTGCACATCGGTTTTTAGAACGAGACAACCGACCCGAGACACCATCGGTAAAGTATAACAGCTCTATCCTAGAGTTCGAAATTTAAAAGAATATAAATATGTTATCTGTCATATATGTCAAATGTCAGATTTTAAATGTGTTAAGGCATTTGAGAGATTAATATATTGAATACTGAAATTTAATTTTAAAATTAAACAGGCAGAACTCAAACCCACGTCCTTAACTTTACTGTGACGTTGCTCTTACACGTTACTGTTCGCTGGTCCAGGACCAAGTCCCGTCTGTGTCCTATATTGCAATGATCATTCTTCATACGTTAGTTTTATATTAATTTACTTACCGATGTGCAATATATCTAGATACTATTTTGTAATTGGACTAACATTTTCAAGCCCTTTGGTGGGGCTCTATAATACAAAACTTCAGTCGTTCAGTAAAGTGGGTGTTCGTTTCAAGTTAGTGTAGTAGATGTCCGTCTTCTTCCTGCTGCTCTAGTAGCAGCCTCTGCTGTTCCTCCTGTTGCAAAGCTTCCCTCTCAGCTGCGATGCGGGCATGCTGCTCGGCGATCACGCGAAACAGGTTCGCGTGTTTTGCTGCTGCAGCTGCTACAGCCTCAGATTGACGGGGCACTGACGTTTCTGGAATATTTGGAGCTTTATTTGTATTTTTTTAAGGAGGATAGCTTTCTGTGGTAAGGACAACTGCCTTATTTTTGTAGGGTGATTTTCAATGGATATCTATTAATTTATAAACAGTAGTTTTATCCTTTATAAGTGTCCTACTAAGATCACTAAGATCATGAGAAACAATTGACATGCTTAGTAGCGAATACTAGTTATTAGTTATTATAATTAAAATATATAAATACTACACTCGTTGATGTAAAACTTGTTTTTGCCAGTATTATTTTATTAGTAGTATGACTATAAATGCATTATGAATATTTAAGATTCACGAAAGGGTTCCAGATAAATGGTAAATGGGACGTGTTCAATTGTGGAGGTAATATCACAATCTAATAGCAAGTTCTTTTTTTGTAATCTATAGGAGAGGACAGACAGGTGTTACTTGATGGGGGGGGAAAAAAAAAAAAAAAAAAAAAAAAAAAAAAAACCGGGGGGGAAAAATTTTTTATGGGGAAAAAAAAAAAAAAAAAAAGGTTTAAATAAAAGGGGAGAAAAAAATATTTAAATAAAACACTTTAACGGTTTAAAACGCGAGATATTAGTTAAACTTTTTGAAAATGTTTTACCACAGCCATAACATCTACACAAGATGCCCGCTGCTCGACCTAAAGTTTTGTATTTGGATATTCGGAAATCGTTAGAAAGCGTAACGCGATTAAACCGTGAAGTTTAATCTTTTGCGTCTATGGACGGTGGTTCGTGACGAAATTTCGATATTCCTAATACCCATTTGATATCCAGATTTCCAAACTCCAACATGTTTCCAAAATATTATACATTGAAAAATTTCATACATGTTGGACCAGGTGGAGATCGAACCCACGACCCGTTGATTACCCACGACCCGAGTCCGTTGATTAATATTCAAATTACGCATTAAATTGCGCTTTATTTATAAATGTGTATGATAAATACACACACAATATAATTTCTAGAATATTACAAAACAATTTGACCACTATTGACAAACATTAGTAATAGATACCAACCATCAGGATAAGGATGTTGTGCGTGCTCCTCAGCAATTTTAGCATACAGCTGGAAGTGACGGTCCTTAGCGCGAGCAACGGATTCTGAATCGGTTGGGTGTTCTGGTAGGGGATCGCTCAATACCGGGTGGAAACCCTCACGATCCGCTACATAGTCCACGGTGCGAACCTTCTGACGTGGGTCGACGTATGAGAATGTACCTGGAAAATAAATAGAGCAGGTTTATTTATAATATTTTAGTATTAATACACATATTAAAAATTACTTTTTAATAGGTTCTGCGTTTATTTAAAAAATACACTCAGAATTACGCAACATGTTGCATTGCGTCAAGCGCGAGTGGTTCCGTGTTCGAATCCCAGGGAAACAATAGATTGTTTCGGTCGGGCAGTGCACAAAAGTCTAATTAACAACTTGCCTATAAAAGAAACAATTAGTGAACTACGAAATGCTGTATGCCCCTTGCCTCACGGGGAGAAACAGAAACAAAATTTTACGTTTTTCCCTTCGTGTATCGCAATGTATCTAAATGCAATCTTGCGCTCTTGATTGTTTGTTCAAATACCACCATTTTTAGGTTAAATTTTAAATATTTAAGATTTTACCTAAAAATGTGTTCTTGTTCTCCATAGACTACAGATAAATCTATATCTATAGTATACTAATATGAAAAGCTGAAGAGTTTGCTTGTTTGAACGCGCTAATCTCAAGAACTACTGGTTCGAATTGAAAAATTATTTTTGTGTCCTCTAGAACATTTATATGAAGGCTATAAAATTGCATTGTGTGACTAACTAATAGGAGCGAAATATAGCGGGAAATGTGAACAAACGGGGAATTTTTCATTGTGTTTTTCCGATGCGTACGCTGCGAAAACCCAAAAATATGTAGAAAAATGTTTCTCTTTAAATATATAAAAAAAGGCCGCGACGCTATATGTCTATCTCCTAAGATTAACTTGTAAGAACGGCGAGAAGAGACGCGACCGACGTCGTGGGTAACAGCTTAAGTATATAAAGATGAACGGGGATTACAAAAACGTATTTGGATGCCCTATATAACGATTCTCGCGGGCGAAGTCGCTGGGATCGCTAGTAAATAATAAATTAAATTAAACAGAGGTGAAAGTTTTTTAATAAGGGTTAAAGATACAAGACATAATTATTCTCGGTCTATAAGTATAGTATTTTATTTTTTAAATTTTAGTTCTAATTTTGAGTTATACCTAAATTGACTGGACTGTTTACATCAATGTAAGTATTAAAGGCGTAACTTAGACTGAGAAAAAGATGTTTTTTCTTAATCGTTTGCTTTAAAACAAAAACGAATCAAGTTTAGCTGTTTTATTAATTAAATAATTGCAACGAGACAATTTATATGTGCTTCCATAAGCGGTATGTATTTAGGAAAACACAAATTTTATACTGTCGCAATATAAGGTCCTGCATACTTCGTAAAGGTCAACATGTGTTGCTACGAAACAGAAAAAAACTAGACTAAAGAATTTATTTAAATTATTTGGCTGAACGCGACCCGCGGGCGTCATCGCTGGAACGGGTTTCCACTTCATTACCAAACGCCATATTTATTTATTTGTATGACCGATTATCAACAGTTCTATGTTGTAATATAATTGGTTTGTTAAGTATTATCTGTAGTTTACGCGAGTAGTAATATTTTTAACCGTTTACAGTGGAGCAGCCGTAGTACACTAAAGCATTTGAAACGTCATGCCGTAGTTAATTTAAATTGTCAATAAAATACCCAATATATTTCTTGTTTTAAACCGTTACAAAGTAAAAAATGTGTGGGTTTACGGCGTGCTTTGGGGCTCAGCAACATCTGATTATGCCGTCCGCTCGTGTTAGCGAAACGTCGAGAACCTCTTCTCGGTCGAACAGCCCGAAAAACAATTATATGCTGTTACAAAGTTTTTTAATATAATAATTGCTATAAAATAAAAATCGGTTTTAAGATTGAAAAAATTTACAGCGCACCGTGCTGTTGCTCTAACCAATGTATTTACCGTGTCCTAGACGCCATCGGCGAATTTTTTCATGTATGAATGAATAAATAATTATTTACCTCTAACGACGCCACTTCCATCGCTAACCTCAGCATGTTGTCTGTCCGTGTGTCCAGGGAAACGTCCAGCTGTGTATGAGAACGCGTAAGGTTTTGGCGGACCCTCCGTACTGGTAGTGAGCTGCTCTTGCTGTAGGTGCAGCACGTCACAACTGCTCAGCGCCGCAGCACACAACAGTAATGTACACGTCAGTATCATCTGAAAAAGTTTACATGACGGTTTAAATAAAACATATTACAAGAAAGAAACCATCCATACTCCAAAGTAAACAAACATTTATCAACTAAACGCACAAAATATAGTGTGTATTTGTTAATCATTAATTAGTACATTATTACAAAACATTTTCCCGTTCAAAGGAAATGTCCACTATTAAAAAAAAGCTGGGCCCAAAATCGACATTCCAATAGTATTTGAAGTAGGTATTGATTGCGACGAACAGAACGAGAATACGTTTTTTGCCATAAATAATTCGACTAAATTTGATTACCATAAATATCTATCATAAAAAAATTGACATATTTATACTAGATAGATTTTTCCACATTCCCAGTATTGTTTTCCACATTTGTATGCTCATGTTAATCGTAATGTTTTATATTTATAGCCTTCCTCAATAAATAGCAACTAACAAAAAAATATTTTTTTTCAATCCGCACCACTTTTTCCTGAGATTAGCACGTTCAAATAAACAAAGTCTTCAGTTCTATAATATAAGTAGCGGTGGAATAAAATAATATTGCTTACAAATGCAAACGGAAAGTAAATAATAACTTAATTGCCCGTTTGTGGCTTTAAATATGCATAAACAAAACCAAGTATTCAAATAAACAACAAGAAGTTTAAATTGTGCACGAAGGATTATACAATTCTAATTATGCCCATGAGCACGCACCGGATTTAATAAGGTGTGGGTCGAAAAATTTATTGCGAAGAAGCCACATTCAAAGAGGCTTTGCGACCTTTGAGTTGCGTCATCCTTCCGGATTTCAATATAATTGCTCACTTGATACACATAGATTAGTTAAAAAAAATATAAATATTATATAAGATATTTACATAAACTTAATTCTTTCACTTAATATTAGAATAAAAAGCTATTCCATGTTATATAATATGCATACGTTTTCATAAATGTATATAAAACATATTTAGCTCTAGTAGTTTATAAATTTTGTGCTTTAATATTGAACGTAGTTAAACCTGTAATGGGAATTTTAAATGTAAGTCCCAAGATTTGACCAAATTGAAAAATTTTATGAAGGTGGAAAAATGGCGGTTTTAACGGGTAAACTCTAAAGTTATGCAAATTAAAGAAGTAAGATGATTTAACACTTTAATTATTAACTAATATTATTGAAATAGAGGTTGCCGAATCAACACAATTTGTTGTTTCCTTACAGGTAATTATTTTGTATATGAAAGTAATATAAAATATGTTTAGATTGCTATAAAAACATTTGGTTTGATTCTGCTCATACAAATTTAATACGAATAGAAATTTAACAATTTTTTTACACAGTAACGGTACGGTATAGTCTACGATGACAAACACGTTAAAAATACACTTTAGTAAGTTGTTATGTTTGCGAAAATGGATACATAATTTGTTCTTTCAATCCCGTTTATGGCAAGAATTTATAACCACTAAAGCAATACATATATCTCTTTCATACAATGAAACAGAAGGAAGATAAAAATTACAAATTAATTATGTTGTTTTCTGGAAAAATCTGATCCGGTATTGCGCATTAAATTTATTATCTATTGATCTTCTTGGAGAAGGTGACATCAGATCACGAGTCGAGGTATATACTTATTTATAAATTATTGCAAAAAAAAAAAAAAAAAAAAAAAAAAACCCCCCAAAAAAAAAAAAAAGGGGGCCCCCGGAAAAAAAAAAAAAACTTCAAAAACGAAGGTTTTGATTAGACATCATCGATGCCACAGGTTAAACTACAAATGGTTTGGCTCAAACCGAGTTTTCCCATTGTTCAAATACTTACTTCAATAATTTTGCCCACCTTTCATGACCATCATAATATACAAAACATAGATATTTATGATATTTTTCATTTGTTTTAAATATACCGCCATTTATTGGACATCCGTTTGTGAACTAAACTAAAATCCTTTGTAAGCCAGAAGCCTGCCTCACTTTTACTTTTGGATAACGCACCTAATATGTAATAACATCGTTTCAGTAACAACCGAAGTAGAGCGGATATTTCGAATTATTAAGGTTTTATTACAGTAATATAACCATTGCCTTATAAATTAACCGTGATAAAATATAAAGAAATATGTATTAACGTTTTGCAGTTTACTAAAGATTTGTATTGTCCTGTCATAGCGATATAGATAAATCAATTTATAATATTTTGAAAAATGTTGGTCTTCGAATATCGAAATTCCGACCGGGTCACGAACCACCGTCCGCAGATGAAAAAGCCGTCAAGTTTAATCGTGTATACCTATCATCATGTTATATGGCTTTTCTTATAAAATATATATTTTGTATTTCTTCCAATCATCCTTTAATTATTATCCTTAATTCCAGATTTTCAACCAATATAATATATTGTAAGTGTTAAGGTTGAAACTAGATTGAGCGAGGGGTGCATGTATCAATAAGTTGAAGAAATTCGACGATGTAGGACTCGGTAGCTCAATTGGTTAGAACACGGAACGCCGTGGATTTTTTTTGCGAGTCGATTTTTTTTTTCAATTTATAATCGATTTTTAATGTATATAGTGCCATCATGTGCAATAATATATGAAAAATGTTAAAGTTTTCAAAAATATATAATTCAAAAGATTACACGACTGCACCGATTAATTTTGAAGTACCTCGTGAACCGCTAAGTTAATAACCAGGCCTAAGCCAGTGAAAGTGATGCCGAAACGACCTTGACCGGCGCCTATCACTTTCATCTGGACCTTGTCCCAGTTGCCCACAGTCCACTGCTCGCATGAAACAGATCAGCTAACGGCTTGTGTAACACAACGCTGCGGTCAGAACCACAATTCATTAGAACAATATTGGAATCGAGTGGATGGCCGAAGCTTAGGCTTGTGTTACATTTCTTCAACTAAATATCCATAACAAAGGTTTACTATAACTAAATAACAAGATGGTGGATTCATTTTATGCTCGTTGTTGTTTTCTAACAATACAAAAATATTAAAGCTTCTAGTTTTTGCCGATCCATTTATTGTGGTCGTGAAGTATAACGGAACATAAGTCAAGAAAATAAAAAAAATAAACGCCAAAAGGATGACCAATATAATAGGGCCTCTAAACTCCCTGGGTTTAGGGGCCCTCTAACCTCGTCTATTGAAAAGAGATAAACCTAAAAAAAAGAAGATAATTTAAGATTTATTTGTTCTTGTCTATCTATATTTGTGAAGTCTTAACTTAGTAGAAACTACGCAGAAAGGTATTTTTTTCTTTTAGGTACAAATGAAGAAATCGGCCCCGGGGCCCTTGTACAACTAACTAACTAACTACGATGCTGTCAAGATTTAAGGTTGAAAAAAAAAGTAGCGAGAAGGATCCGCAATAGTTCCAGATAATATAATAATCCGAGTATCCTTCTCTTTTTATGACTTTGAAATTGATTATCTAGATTCAAGTCAAACACGGTACGATCAAAGAATACAACATAAGGAACATGATGTTACATCACACCTTCTTCCTCCTACGGCGAAGCTGAAACAAAGCCTATTCGCCCACTCAATACGTCATTAATATTATAATTGCATGTCATATTGTAGGTGTAAGAAGGCGGTACGCTTCTTCACTTCATTCCTTTGGTACGGAAATAAAAAATTCCCCATTTTAGTAGAAATATAAACACCATTGCATCTATAGAATAAAAGTAGAAAATTACATACACAACATTAAACTCAAGAACCTTAAATATAGTCTTGTTCTAGTGGTTAATTGGACTGCACGTTCCAAGGTCTCCGGTTCGAGTCATGAGATAGTCAAAATATTAGTTTAGCATTTAGAATTTGTTCTAATCCTGGCATTTCGAACTAGGAAACGTTGTCAACCCCGTGCTTAGGACAACGCGTAACACCGGTCTTTGATATCATCACTTATTTTATACCAAGCCACACAAAAATTCCACCCTACTACAGTGCGAGTTAATAGGCTCTTTAAAACTATCTGTAATAGTAGAGGAAGATCTGTATCCAACAATGGAACCGAATAGTTGAAATCTATGGACTCTGCATTTGCCAAGACAGTCTGCGTCGCTCTGATTTTTTGGCCCGATCTAAAGAAGTATATATATATTTAAGGGGACATAATTTGGAACTAAATTCATAAAAGCTCAGATTCAATTCAAAAAAGACACTCGACTAAAACCTTTCGCAAAGACTCACAAAAACCTTTTGCACTCATTCTCCAAGAAATTAAAATTTTCACGCTTTGGTTGCTAGCGACATAAACAAAAATATGGGTGAGATAGTTTACAATAAAATAATTATAGCATAATGTAAATACAACTGTAAGCGATTATGTACCAAACGCGGGTAAGATTTCGTTTCATAGATGACTGCGTGTATCTTATTATATCCCCAGCGCGTACTTGCCATTTAAAAGCGCATCCGCTTCCATTGAGTTCAGCCGATCTAATCTCTCGTCATACTTTCCGTAACCGACAGTGAAAAATTTGCAAAGCCTCTTATAATATATTGATTTGTATCTTTCCTGACCAGTTCTGACCTTGTGTATTTCGGTGCTTGTAATGTTGAGTTTTGAGAGTAGATGTAACGCTAATGTAGAGGAAAGGTCACATTTCAAGTTACGTAACGAACTTAGCAGTCCTAATAGCTAAAGAATTGAATATTTATAATAATTGTAAAGAATGCAATAGTACGAATTATTGAACGCACCGTACTGTTGCAAAAAACGGCGCCACGTTTCATCGTTTCAAATTTCAACATATCAAGGACAGCATTTTTGATAAATTTTGGCGAACTCCTTTAAACCTCCCTAAAACACATGTTATTTATGATCTCTTAACCATCTTATTTAAGCCCCTATCGTTTCAATAAAAATGTAAAAAGCAACGCCATCTAGTTATTAAAATTAAATTGTGTTCATAATTGTCACTAGGCAACTAGCTAAGAGAAGAAAACAGGATTATTTCCTATCTAGATGTTTATCTGTGGCGTAGATCTTAATGTAGACTAGACTTATGCAATATCAGTTAATAGTAGATAGTAAATTGCAATATCGCTTTTACGATTGATATGAGATCAGAACTTTACTTAGCTTACGAAATATTTACAACAATATTCAATTGTTTTGGCTGCATGTTAATGGCATACATACTTATAATAAAATTTAAAATTAAATTAACAAATAGAAAACTTATATTTACAAATGTTACTTAGAACTTGACTTTTATAAGATGAAATTTTGAGTGCGGGAATGTTGTGCACTTTAAAAAGTGTTTATGAATTATTTAATTATCTGTGAAGTATTTAATTAAGAAATATTTAATCGAATAACTAACTAGACACACCAAACCCAATTAGAACTAATCATAAATGTTATTCACTTTCATTTTCGCAACGAATTTTTGTTATAATTTATAAATAGAGTTCCACGAATTATAAATACAGTTTAAACAACTTAAAATCTGTTCAATTATAAACAATGTTTCCTGATTGCAAACAGCGCAATATATAACAATTCAATTATTTTATTATGTAAAGTGTGTTTACACAAAGTACTCACATTATTTCGTAGCGGAGTAGTATTTTACTAAAGAACACGACAGAAACTGCCTCACAGTGAAGGTAAACAAGTCTATGATACTGCACGAATGGTGAACGGCAGCGGCGAATGAGATCGAAGAGTGACTGACCTTAAAGACTGCGTTAATCGGTCAGTACCACAGAGTATATTCCGCTAACTTGAAATATACACGTAGATTATACAAAGTGAAAGGAATAGAAACGTGTTTGGTAATTATTGTTTAATGTATATAAAATAACAAAAAGAACGGTTGTAAAATTTAAATTGTTTTAATTTAAAAATGAAATCTTTTATTACTCAAAAGGGTTTTATTATACCTACTTAGTATTCATTATATAATCGATTATTTGCATTTAGTGTTAAGAGTCCTAGGTTATTACCGTCAAGATGTGTGTGTATAATAAGGAAAACGGTGTATAAAATAAGGCAACAGTAAAACTTAATTATTGAAATAAAAGATAGATGAGATTAATATTAAAAATATTCTTTAAATAAAACACTTTAACGGTTTAAAACGCGATATATTAGTTAAAAATCATTTTTAAATAAGTTTAACTAATATATCGCGTTTTAAACCGTTAAAGTGTTATATTTAAATGTGTACTACTCGCGTAAACTATAGACAGTATTTAAAAATATTCTTTCCTATAACAATATACTCGTATACCCTCAATTTTTGCTCAATAATGGAACATAATAATGGTAGAGACTATTAGTATGATTAGGACTGTTTCATTGATCATTTTAATCATACCTTTAAATTTGATATTTTAATAATTGAAGTTCTTATAAAGATTGCTGTGCCCTACCTGTCCGGAATTATATTTTGTCTCCGACGCGAGAACTCTCAATTCTAACACAAATATATATATTTATCTTACCTTTTTAATATGATTAAAACGTAAAAATGTGTTATATAATTGATTTTATAATCCGCCCGCCTTCAAACGATCCGCCCAAGTTGCCGTTAGACCGTGGTTTGGTTCAGTAGAGCTTCTGTCAATACAGTATCGTTACTCGTTGGTGATAGGACGCGACGTACTTATAACGATTGCATTTTGAATTATACAAGATATGGACATCGTGAATTAGAATAAGTTTGATGCAATGGGTAAGTCAACAATAGTTTTAGGTATTAGTTATTATACTATAATTTTCAGGAGTTTTATAGAGAGAATTTGTTTTCTATAATGCTGCAACTATTAATTAATCGTATATAAGTATATTCCATCGAGACAAAACATCCCCTGATATTTACTTTTCAATAGGTTTCAGGCAAATTTTAAAATAATATATTTTTTTATGAATCTTACTATTTATATAAACTTAGGCGTATTTCTTTCAACGTGTGCATCTTTATAAACACAAGTAATTTATATTCTAATAATTAACACGTCACATAGCTATCAAATTCAAAAATAGAACGTCATTTACAGTCAATCTGTATTTCATAGAAGTGAATAACAAAAAACATTACATTGAACACATTTACCGATAATAAATCTAAGTAATAATTAGGATAGTTGATTTATTGTATCGCGGCCGACGTCACGAAAGGTTAAACTAAACACTCTAATTTAGGTAATGATTAGTTACAATACATCAAACACAGATTATCACTTTGGTTCGAATATTTTTACAACCTGGTACTGTGTTTTCTTGTAAAATCCGCGATCAACGTACTAAAATAAATAAACGAACCGGAAACAAATGCTTATTTGCAAAAGCCTAATTTAGGTTGATAGTTCGCCTCGCCTTGAGTACACGACGCTACTATTTCGTTAATGTGCTTTATATATACTAACATTACGAAGCTGAAGAGTTTGTCTGTTCGTTTTAACGCTCTAATCTCAGAAACACGTATTGAAAAAATAATTTAGTGTCGCTTAGACAATTTAGATTTTAGACCAACAAAGATCGTTGAATTATGGAAATAACGGGAAAAATTATTCGCATTTGAGGATTTCCATTGTGAAAACGGTTCAGGATAATAAAACAAATTGTATGCAAGATGGTTCTTCATTAATAATTTGAAAAATACATTGTGTAAGGCTTTCACGGCCATCAAGCTCGAAAAACCTTCTCGCTCACATCGGCCGAACAGCCCGAAAGACAATAATTTGAAAAATGTCTGCGACATTACATCTGCAACATTAAGAAGAACAACGCAGAATACGTTAGCAAGATGCTAGTATATGCTAAAAGACATTTACAATAATTCTGCAAGCTTCATACTAATAAACCAGTTCTAAATAAAACAACTGAACATAGGGTAACAGCTAAACAGTTATTTTAGAGATGCTACCAAATAGTGGGAAAAAGGACGACTTTTTTTGTATTGACTTAGTGATAAAATTGACTACATGATGATTTTTATAAAATATGTTGTATCTGAAACTCAAGAGGTATACATGAAAAAGAGAACGGTTTTTTGAAACGCGAACGTATTTGACACTTCAAAACACGGTTAATGTCGTCTGAAGAAAAAATACGCGTTATAATGAATTATTAAACTAAAAGAAATTATTGGATAAACAAACTCTGAGTCGTATATTTTTTCTTTACTATATTTATACAGTTTTGTAGAGTGACGCGCGTTAATAGCTTCACTAAATAGAAGGTTTGACACTTTGTTTACAGCGCGTTAATATTTCATAAGTTACAATAACTTAATCAAACATTGTGTGATTTAAAAAATCAAATCAATGCCATAAATGACGTGAATGTCAAAAGACGATATTCTTAGGTTTTCTTCTAAAAATGTAGTGAGTCGTGTAAAGCCTAAGCGTACTACTTTTCTGAAGACGTGATCTTGTTTCGCATTTTTAGGAATCCTTTGAAGTATTGTTCTATGATAAAGTACGGCAAAAATAATTAATTATTTTCCTCTAAAATCTTTACTAACGCAGTAGAATGTTCATGGAATATTCTGTACGTAATTTTCGGCGCAGAAGAACAAGAAACTGCTGCGTTCGTCGACGTCAAAGTAAGTTTTTAAAATATGATTTAAAGAACAAAATACGAAGGAATAAAAGAAAACACAAAACACTTTATTTAAATAATATTACAAATGGAATATATTCATAACAATCCCTTCATATCCCTTTAGTTAATAATTTTAAAAATGTATGATTAGATTTATTATTTCTAATATTATATTTAAAACGCTTGAGATAAGTGTATTCAAAAGTTTCGAAATAACGTCGCTAAACTTCGTCTCCCTAATAGATAATATAAGTATATAAATAAATATATAAATTTAACAGTATATTTATTTTACATTGCTAATCTTCTTTATTAATTATTATTAATACCTTAAAATAGCGAGAGAGTTCCAACAACAATATACATAACTTGTAACTTACTAGACCTGTCTCAGATGCAGTTATTTAAAAAATTGTCCTTTTTTAAATGGTTTGATCATTATTATTAAATAATTACACGAACACAGCAGGTGTTTATAAGAAGCAATCAAACTTCAAGTGGAAAACTTTAATTAAACTCTACTGTACACATATTACAACTTATATGAGTGAAATAATAACTTTTATTTACTGCAGATTGCAACAATATCAGTTCAATATGAATGCCGTTGTTTGTTGAATTTCGGTAGTTATTTTTATTAATATGGTAGGTACTTAATATTCTCTAGCTAAATGGTTAAAACGCGAGGTCTTGGTTTTCAAGCAATGGATCGGGTCCTTTCGGTCGGTCAGGGCACAGCAGTCTGATCAGTGAAAGGGGCACAGAACAGTCTTCGGCCCAAACCGTAAGGGGGTAACAGGATATTACCTCTAGTACTTAAATACAAAAACATGTATTACACTTACTTTTTTTGTTTTTTTTTTAATAAAATGCTATTTTGTGTTGTTGATATTTATACATATACAATCAATACTTTTTTCTCCCAAAAAGAGAAAACGAAGTGACTGTAGTATATTATAAGCACCTATAATCTAACTTATTTGAATGTTACTTTGTAATGATATGTTTTATAACATTCTCCGACTTACAGGTTCAGAAAGGACTCCTAATGGGTTGCCCCATACTACTGCTGAGAACGCCCCCCACTGCACAGTTAGCGGTGCACACGCCTTCATACTCAGGGTATTGCTAAAAATCCCATCAGTCTTTCTTCTTCTTATTCTTTTTTTTAAAAGAATCTTTCTAAATTAAAAAATCGAAAATAAATTGAAAAAAATATTTTCGAGTTTTAATCTCTTCTTCTTTTTTTTCTCTTACAGCAGACACAGCATATTTCCTGGTTAAATGCACGTTATCAACGCCCACGTCACCAATTTCAAAATGATGACATTGCGAAGGTTGTAGAAAATTAATCGTACTACACCCTCCTCGCAATGAGATTAGTCGACCTGAACCACTAATAACACATGGCACCAGCCCGCTACGGTGCTTTCTAGGAAATTCTGGGACCACAGCAATTTATATACATATTCATAGTCTTTATATAGCTTCCATCATCTTGCAAACATGGTGTTAATTAAAAGTTAAGTTATAATGAATTATTTTAATATTCAGACACTGTTTTATTTAAATTTCGAATTTCAAATCGCACTTGTCATTCTATGTAGCTTAGCTTGACCTCTTAATTAATTTAACTATGGCGGGCATTTTTTCAGATCTCGAGTGTGTTTGGATTGGCGCCATTAAGATTTGAAGCTAAAGGCGAAGGGTTCATCGTTCGAGTCTCGGGTGGCATGTGTCTTTACAGCTACCTGCTCGTCACCACGCTTGGTTAGATACTATTATTTGCAAATATACTAAGGATGATATAAATATGAGATTATCATTAAATGTAAATGTAGATATGCTCCGTTGAAATAAATCTTTGTACCACATACCTACTACATCGCTTTTACGTAAAAATTAAAGGTTTCCTTGTGTGTGGTCGTAAATGTTACGAGGACATATTTAAATAAAAAACTTTTAAGGGTTTAAAATATTATATTACTCAACATATTTTAGGTCCTCCGTGACCACGGCTGCTACAAAGCATCCGAAACATCGGTCCGCTGTTAATATGAATTAAAAATAAAATAATAAGTTACACGTTAAAAGTTTTTTTTTTTTAAACACAGTCAACGGGCTTAGGGCTTTTAGAGTCTAATAAATACAAAACAATATATATTTGATATTGAGACTTGTTTTCTTAATAGTCGTGTGTACGGTATGTGGACTTCGCGCGGAAGTTGCTGCAGGTGTCACTATGTCCGTTCGTATGTCGTCTCGAGTGGCGCAGTTCGTCTCTGCCTGTGACGTACTAGCTGTGACGCTGACAGCCGGTGCTGGTATATACCAGGCACCAGCCCGCATGAGAGCGATGATCTCCTTCATGGAAACCGTTGCTGCTGTGAGTGGATTTCAAATTGTTTTAAACGTTGCAGGATCTTTTTTTGGATAACATGAAGGCATTACCATAACATGCCGTTGCTATGGGTGTAAATTAAAAACATATTCTTTAATGTGTTTTACAAGATCTCCCCGGAAAATAACGACTACTACCCATTTTCTACATAAAGATTAATACATTTTAGGTTAAACTATAAGTTATTATAAAGTTAGTTGTTACATATATTCCTCTCAATTGATCGCAAAACTTGAATATAACAAATTAGATAAGAAGATACTGGGTATCTTCTGCTCTACTTCTATTCTGTACAATTGAATAAGTATAGTCACGTAATGGTCATTTTTCATATTAACCACAATGATTAAAATGTTAAGTTAAATGTTTAGGATTTGTGTTAAATTTTATTTGTGTAATCCTAAAACTAAGATTTATTTATTTTAATTGTTAGCATGTTATATTTACCTATAATTATTTCTTACGCTTAACCTGTTAATTTGTTTTTTTAAATAATTGTTGTGTAAATAATATAATAATTATTTGTAAAATATTTGATTAATTCTCAGGTGGACGAAAGCATTGGGGCAGAGTATTCACGTTCTAGAGAACGATGGCTAAGTTTTGCACTTCTGGCTATTCTCATCTTTTTTACTATTCTCGTGGCAGATGACTTCTGCTTTTACGCTTTGCAAGCTAGGAAGATCGATAGAGAGTGTAAGCTATTTATATTTCCAAAAGTTTTTTTTTTATGTTAAAAGAGGACAGACACGTACAGGGTTCACTCGATGGAAGGTAAAATACCCTTTATGATATAACATCTAACACTTATTATGCAGTGTCAACATATTTATAAACCGAAACGCGATTAAACTGCCGTCACGGCTTTTTCATCTGTACACGGTGGTTCGGGATCCCGACGGAATTTTCGATATTCCTGATACCCATTTCATACGAAGCAGCACGGTAGATATGAAGCCACAAAATTTTCAATCGAAATTAGATATTACAAAGTAAGAGAGAGAGAGAGAGAGAGAGATAGTTTTTATAATTTAATGTAACTACTATATTTATTAAAGGAGACATAAGATGCGTTTATGCTTGTTTGAACCCATTATCTTTATCTGTACTTACAAATCTTGTTAAACCTTATAAGTATAGTATTTAAGACTCATTTTAGATTAAGCTCAGGTTTCTTTAACTTTCGTTGTAAACAGGGGACGTGGTTACCAACTACGTGGGGTTCTACTTGCTGTGGTACGTGGTTATTGTGCTTGAACTCCAATTTGCCTTCACTGCGCTGTCTGTTCGAGCGCGCTTCAGGGCTCTGAACGATGCACTGGCTGTAACAGCTCGGCATGTTTCGCATCCCGGTAATCTTCCTCAATAAATCCACTGAACCCTATCTAAAATCTTTTGCCTCAAAACCTTTCCAAAACTTTAATCCACATGTTGGTATTCTATGAATTTGAAACCGGTTTTAAATTTTAAAACTAACCTAACCAATTGAACAACCCATGGAAACATGGAACTTTATGGATGCCTGTTCAAGTCCTGGCCGTGTCGTTAAATTTTTTAAATCTAAAATCGATTTTTAACCTTTTACTTTTAAATAGGGAACGATATTAATATTGATATTTAATTTAGTATGGTGCAACATATTTATTTATAGTAGATGCATATAGTGTTCACTTACTAGCAAAGAAATAATAAACATCTATATTGCTGTCAATTATTAAGTGTAACATACATAAGTGAGAAAAAGAAAACAATTTAGACTCGCTGATAGTTCATTCTTATTTCTTACCAATACAATGATTCTTGATAAATGATCATAAGAACAAAAACTCCCTCAAAATACTGTAACTTATATTAATTTACAGAGAACAATTGTATGTCCAGTGCAGTAACGACTTTATAATTTTGCAGAAAACTTCTTCCCTGTAGAAAAAGTGCCAGAGCGTTCGCCATTGAACGTGTTTGCTATCCGCATGTCAACTGACTCTCCGAGGCGGCAGAATATCAGTCTTCTTGTTGACTCGCTGCCCACTTCAGTTGATAGACAGGAATCTATTATACATAGAGGTGTCTTTCTCAAACCATTTTAATGCTAATATATCTACATGTTGAATGTCAAAAAGTCTTATATTATATCATAGTATTCCTTCCTTCAAAATTATATCTTTGAACTTTGTTTTATTTTAGTACTGAATTGTCTTTTTGTATTCAGAGCACAAGAATGGGCGTTATGCCACCTCATCGTCTTTAACATTATCCAATCTTGCATATTGTAAACTTTGCTTTATTAAAAGTAGTAGGCGATGAAAAATAATTTCAAAAATGTTGCAAATTATACTTACCCATCGCTTTCCCGACTGCTGTAAAACTTCTTAGAGAATGGGTTTGTTAAAAAGTGTTTTCAAAGCGTAACGTAATTACAATAATTATGCGTCTCCAACAATTATCATTTTATATCGACACCTTATGTATTGTAGCTTATACTGGGTCGTGGAGACATTTATACCCCATGGTGTACTTTTTTTAAATATTGTAATAATATTAACATTTTTTTTCTCTTAGAAAACGGATGTATGCGTCTAGCTGTGCCAGCAGGGGAGGCGGTGAGGCGGTTGGCTGCTTTACAAGGAGCGTTATGTGAGGTCTTACGTCGTGTGGAATCTGGTTATGGAGTTCCACTGGCTCTACTTCTACTCTCCGCATTGATGCATCTTATTGTCACGCCCTATTTCTTCATTATGGAAATAAGTAAGTTCATCTTGTTTTGTAACTAAAGTTTAACACATTTTGTAAAAATTTAGATACTGTAGAGCTCAAGAAAAGATAAATAAGTGTTTTTTTTAATCCTCTTTTCCTGTATCGGGCAAGAGGTACACATTTGTGTATGTTTTACAAATCGTTATTACTGATGGGCAATTCTAGATAGATATTTTTATAACAGCTGTATCGAACACAGAATCTTTCGAATGTAAATTGTCAACTACGACTACGTGAAAGGTTGTATTGATTTACCATTCCCTCCTTATCTTCGACGATGTAATGGGATCTCTCTTCGACGTAGTCAATAATACTTATCCTCTAATCTTACGTGGATTAGAGGATAAGTAGGACGTAAGTAGTAGTAAGGACGTGGGCACAACTAGTACCTAAGATAAATCCTGAATACACGTATTCTATTTATTAACTAAAACACTTTAACGAGTTAAAATGCGATATATATTAGTATAACTTATACATACTTGACCGCCTCTGTAGCCAAATGGTTAAACGTATTGCCTAGCATTGCGTTGAGCGCGAGAGATCCTGGGTTCGAATCCCAGGGAAACAAAAAACAATTGTTTCGGTCGGGCAGAGCACAGAAGTCTGATCAACTACTTGCCCATTAAAAGAACTGATCAGTGAAATGGACACAGAAATGTGTTCGCCCCATGCCCCACGAGGGGGAGACGGGCTTTCACTTTTATATATACTTAACGTTTCGGATGCTTTGCACATGGAGAGACTCTCGGGGAGAAACGTCTGGCCGAAGTTCAAAATAATTTTCAAGTAAGTTTAACTAATATATATCGCGTTGTATACCGTTAAAGTGTTTTATTTAAATGTGTATTACTCGCGTAAACAACAGACAGTATTTATTCATATTCTATTCTTGTCTATTTTTGCAGTAATCTCAACACACCGTATCCACTTTCTGGTTCTTCAGTTCCTATGGTGTGCTACTCACGTTCTCCGGATGTTGGTTGTCGTTGAGCCTTGTCATTACACCATCACCGAGGTACCCATGACACAAATAGTCTATATTTAATGTTTCTATTGATTCTGTGATGTCTAGTGATTGGTAAAAGTTTACACCTACACAAGTTTAAACCTTCAGAAAATTACTGGTTTATCCCATCTGGATTCAAAGAGATTTAAAAGAATGAACTAATGAATTGAGCAATGTTTGTAATTTGCGAGAAGCATTATTTTGGGCATCGAAATTAGTTTTTGAAAACCCCGTCATCTTTATAAACTTAAGCTGTTAGCCACAACGTCGATCGCGTACCTTCCCGTCGTTCTTGCAAATTAATCTTAAAAGATGGAATGAGAAAGAGGAATCGTTCTTTAATACATATTTTTTGGTTATATCGGAAATCCACAGAGATAAAAAATTTCCCACGTTATGTTCACATTTCCCGTTATATCTTCGCTTGTATAAATGATATGGCAATGTTTTATAGCCTTCCTCGATAAATGCTCTAACCAACACAAAATAATGTTTCAATTCAAACCATTAGTTCCTTAGATGAGCGGGTTCAAACAAACGAACAATCAAACAAACTCTTCAGCTTTATATATGAGTATAGATATAGATTGTACTAAATTTTTAATGAGATTCTATGTAAGTAAACGTGTGAAAATCGCTAACGACAAACTATCTGATTAATCAAGTCTTCGTTAATCATCTTATTTTTTTTAAAGATGATGTGATACTTATTGAACATTTAACAATTAATAGAACCCAGTAGCTCAATTGGTTAGAGCAACAGCACGGAACGCTGAGGATGTCGGTTCAAGTCCTAGCCGAGTCGTAATTTTTTTCAATTTAGAATCGATTCTTTTCTTATTTTTTTTGACCAAGCTATCAAGTTTTACTCATAAAGGACTGTTAGTTATTGCAAAAGACTTCCAGGGTAAAAGAACTGAGCAGCTGGTATGCCGGCTTCTGCGAGCAGCGCCTGCCGGTTCAGGAACCTTGTCTTCGCGTCTCGAAATGTTCTCGCGCCAGCTTCTATTACAATCTGTGTGCTATTCGCCAATGGGCCTTTGCACACTTGGACGACCGCTCGTGGCTACTGTAAGACTTTTTCCAATCAATGCTAGACTAGAATAAGCTATATACTTGTGTGTAGTTATAGAGATAGAGATTTTTTTAGAGCAGGACAGCATGAGGGTTACTTGATAGTAGGTGATATACCTAACATTACATCTTATCAAAATATCCTACGTAGGTATTTACTTCAGTTGAAATTACCTAAATTATATGTGCTATTTGCACTTATTAAGTCTATGGTAATAAGTGCACAGTTAATAGTACATTATGATAAAAGTGCGGTAAGTTGAAAATTACAGCCGAGGCGATATTACTATAAGAAAGTAGAGGCTGTAATTTTCAAAGCGCACGTATGTCATACGACGTTTTATAACATATTTACGAGGAAATTTATAGTTGACAACATTTTCAAATAAAAAGAATACAGCGAAAAGAAAAAGCGCGCGGAATTATTTTTACTTGTCCACAATTAAGCGATGCGCGCGATCAACGTTTTTTTAGGCAAAGGTACAAAAACAGCCAGTATTACTAATAAAGTAAATTAATATTTTTGTGTTTTTGTTATAGATAAATGGTTGTAATTTATTGTCAAAATTAATTAAGTTAAAGAATTAAATGTTTATTTGCTATATTTTATTTCCCAAAGTTAATTTTATTTATAAAATATTGACCACTATCTTGACATAAAAACCTCTTTGCTAAAAAAAAACACACGTGCCTTTTACATTACATTATCGCACAAGTACGTAATGAGATATATTACGCTATTGAAATTGGTGTAATTACAAGCACTTTACGAGCAAATATGTTATAAAACATATTATTGTTATTTCTTATTCAGTCTATATATGATAGAGGACATCAGACAAGCACAGGGCTCACTTGATGATAGATGAGAACTCACCCATACAAGATCCTTACGTTCGCTGACAGCCTATTTTGGCTTTGGATATTCGGAAATCCACAGACCGAAACCAAAACCCGATTAAACATCACGGCTTTCTCATACAGGATATAAATCGAAGGTCATCATGTAACTGAAAGTAAAGTGTGATTAAAATATTGATTTATTGCAGGTTTTTGGAGCGGTAACAACATACCTCGTAATACTGATACAGTTTCAACGTTACGACTCATAAATATAAATAATCATCTACTTTAGAATAATGATCATTTAATGATATAATGGTAGCATGAATAACCAGCGACAAGCTTGGTTTATTTTTATTAAGTATATTTAATAATGATACAATCTAATTCATGGTGTTGCTATTTGAAGTTTGAATAATAATCAAAAATTCGAAACATGTACCGCATCCTAAAACGGATCTTAAATTATCTTGAAGATAAGGGAATTATTAAGCGAAGTAGTATATCTCGTTCTATGTCGTCAGGTCGTATTTCTATAATGAAATTCATCTCCGAAAATACAAATAGCATAAAATCATAAAAAACTTTAAACCTGTAAATCGCTATGTGTTATCGCTAAGTATAAAAAGTTGATGAGCAATCGTCGATAGAAAATTAATTAAAGTTATGAGAAATGAAATAGTGAAATATAATATTTATGCTATTCTATAGTTTTCCCTATGAAGGGGCAGACGAACTTCTGTGTCTGTTTGAATGATGGGTTTTATTTACAGACAAATAGATATATGTATATTACGTTGTCTTTTCTACGCAAATGATAGATATAAGTAATAAAGTAAAATTGTATTAAAACCATGTTATAAAATAAACAAGCTATCGCATTAAAAATATAATTTAATTCAAAATAACATTATTATTATACATTACATTTCTGCTTTTAATTTTTTTACATTGTATTAAATTGACTCTTTTAAAAGCACTTGCCGATCATAAGAATTCCGGTTAACAGTAAGAATTATATTAAATAAATAATTGAAATGTCTACCAATGAAATCACAACATATCCATGTATATGTATAATGTGACATAAGCTTTAAAGCATTCTAGAAATAACAATTACAATTTTATATTGCATAGATTTTCTTATCGGCTAAAAATAAATTTTAAATAAAAAAATGCATACTCATTATCTTGTTAAGCTGAACTGCTGAAATGTTTGGTACCGACTATTGACGTCAATGAAACCAGATTTACTTGCATTTATTTGCATAATGTTAGAAAAACACGATACAAATAGACAAACAATCTATTTTGCATTCACCTTAATTTATCAGTCAGCGACTAATTTTATTTGTTGTTTATAGTTAAAATTAAAAAGAATCACTATACACGGTATAACCTAACACAAACAGGGTTAAGCGTACAAGTTCATGTAAGAACCAATTTATTTTTTTAAGGAATTTAAGATACCTTTAGAAAACAATAAACTGAATTGCTGACGTAACAATAAATTGAATATATGTAAACACCACATAGTGCAGACCGGAAGACAGGTTCCATGCCTGATTTCTCTCGTTGTCATAAGTACTCTTTTTATTTTCTACCATTATTTTTGTTTTAATATGTTATACATATATATATGATGTGTTAACTCAGAAGTCGTTTCACGCAAAAATTTCCTGTAATTCACTGTGACTTAAACGTACTAGACGAAGCGATTGTAACCATAGACGCTGTATGTTCTTCTCGTCTCTTGCTCTTCTACTTGCTAGAACTCTGCCAGAACTTACCCAATATTCCCCACTGACAAAACCGTCTACAGCTAATCGCACAACTGGTTGAGCTCCCATTTGAGGACTCCTACTGAATAAGAGAATAAGAAAGATGACAATCTTGGCTAAAGAATCCCCTCGGCTTTTAAAGATCGCTGTATTCACAATTCCTGGATCAGCGCAGTTTACCACTACATGAAAATTATACGCAGAAAAATAGTTATGTAGTTGTCGTGCGAAAAGGACCAAACACAACTTACTGTTGCAATACGATGACCACCAATGATTTGAATTGTTATAGGCGTTCACGTCGCTAAGGGATAATCTGTGAGCCATTGAAGACATGTTTATAATTTTAGCCGGTTCCTTATCACGACCGCTCCTCTTCAGCAACGGTAGAAGCAACAGTGTCAACAAAAAATGCCCGTAATAATTCACTTGCATCACATAGTTCATTCCATCCTTGCTAATGAAGTTGTCTTCCACACACACACCAGCGTTGTTGACCAAAATATGCAAATGACTCTCTGATTGTAGAATTTCCTTCGCAAATTCGCGCACCGATCTAAGTGAAGACAGGTCAAGTTGTTTAAAGACAACTTCTGTGTTATCAACAGTAGCGATTTGAGTTATTGCCGTCAAACCCTCGGAACGTCGATGGCTAGCAACAATAACTCTTGCACCTCGTTTTGCAAAATCTTTGGCTATTTCCAGACCAATACCAGAAGTTCCACCGGTCACAAGAGCCGTCTTACCTTTGAGGCTTTTAGAAGACATGAACGAGGCTCGAGTAATGTTTTTCTTTAGAGCTACAAATATAAGCGTAAGTAATGTAAGTCCCAGAACGAGAGCGTGTACCGCCGTCATAACTTGAGTGTCAATTTATAGAAGAGCCGTCGTGTCGGCTTTACTCTACCACTATTATTTATATAATGTCATACGAATTGGGCATGCGGACTCTATATACTATATGTATTTCCACAAAAAGTCAGACCCAGCGATCGTCTAAATTCAAAGAGGTTGGACAAATAAATTGATAACGCGCAAAGGCCAAGACGCTAGTGAAAATGCTATATTTGTATCAATATTGTGCAATAAAATTGTTTGTGTGTTCTTAACTTATTAACTTATTTATATAATGTTATTATTTGACAGCTTATTCTATTACAAAACGGTATTTAAAAACATTTTATCTGTATAAATATATTATGTTACTAAAGTAAAATTATTCTTTTAAAAGCTGCAACACACACACACACGTTCATAACGCTTTATTTATAGTAGTAATATTTATTAAAAACCTTAGGGGGGCCCCCCCCTCTATACGTTTACCTTAAATAAGTTACTTGGTTAATTCAGTAAATAAAAATACAAACTATAGGTACTAGTACTAGGTAATACAAAACGTTACATAAGCTCAAGACTCGTATAAAAAAATGTGACGTAGCTAAAATATTGACGACTCCAGTCTAAAAGTTTTATAGTGTTTTTTTACATGAAATATTTAATAATTTGTATTAGGACCTTATATAGAATTATACATCCTAAGTCCTATTCATCTAATTATCAGGCGACAGTGTTGTTTGAATTAGGCAACTACTGGTTTCAAGGTAGTGTTAATAATACAACTACATTAATTAAATAAAACACTTAGAACGGTTGAAATCGCGAAATGTATTACTTAAAATTATTTTAACTATGGCGCCAAAGTTTAGTCTTCCCGTAACCACAGCTGCTGCATAATGTTCAAAACATCGGGCATGGTTATAATCCTTAATAATATTATAAATGCGAAAGTAGGTAACTTTGTCTGTCTTGTCTGTTACTCTTTCACGCTAAAACTACTGAATGAAATTTGGTACAAAAACCAGATGGTCTAGACCCTGAGAAAGAGCATATTTTTATTGCGAAAAGGGTGTTGTAAGAGGTTAAAAGGGGGTGAAAGTTTGTATGGAAATTGGTGGTTTTTGAAGCCAGAACAATAAAACTTTTTTCTTTGGGTTTTTGGGAAAGGAGTGGGAGTGACAGAAGTGGGAGTAGAGTGGGAGGATGTGAGGTGAGAGTTTGGGCAAAATAGACTTACAACATAGATTGGCTGCGATAAATGCGAATTACATAAATTAATAAACAGCCTAAATAATTAAAAATTCTACCCCAAGTCACTATTCCACGCGAACGAAGTCGCGGGCACAGTTAGTACTTAATAAATAAGTTTAACTAAAAAAAGTAAATCGTAAAATTTTTATTTATTTAAATGTAATCCTCGGTACAAACACTAATTAATTAAGGTTTTACAACTAAAACAAAATTTTTCACGAAAAAAAGTGCGGTTGGGTGGCAAAAGAATGTACGTAATTAATAACCTATGCAGAGATGAGAACGGTAATAATTGTGATGATAATATTAAAAGATAATAAGTGTTCGAATTCTATGTTCTTACGATTGAAGTTTATTTATTTAATAATAATTTAAAAACTTCATCCGAGCTTTTTCGAGGAATTATATATATATTAATAAGTTATCTGTTAATCATTTAGAATTTAGAAAAAAAGTCACTTATTGACTGTCATTTGTCAAGATTCAAATGTCAGCTGTCAATATTAAAGTTTTGAAAATGGAACAGCAACATTAGACCAAATTAAATACATTTCGAAAGGTGTCTGAATAATTTTCTCAAAAAAACAATGGCGACAGTGCCACTTGGGATTTTAACACAAACCCAAAAGTTAGGTAATCTGTACAAGAGAGCTCTTCGCAATTTAGAGTCGTATTACGATAGACGGTAAAGATTTCCTTTTCATTGCTTCGTCATAATACCTATATAACGTCAACATTAATTTTCATTACGTAATTTAGCATCATTGTTTGTGTTATTTTACAGTTTTTAAGTTGGAATTATACACAAAACAATGTACTTGCCTCTACAATTATCAATCTTTTCTTTATGTCTTTTTGAAGTCAAATCATCAAAGGTAAATGAGTTGGTCCGAAATACAACCTCAGAAATGTATTTGGATGAAATTTTAATTACTTTGTATATTATTGTAGATAGGTGTTGTTGTATATAATCCAATAAAAGAAAAATATTAAAAAGTATCAAAATCAGTATAGTTTGATGAAGGTTTGCTCTTTAAATTTTTTGAAATGTTTACCTATTTTTTAATGTATATTGTATATTTTTGTACGAAATACTGTCTTTCTCTCTCTTCTCTAATTTCAATGATTGTACTTCCAGACATGTGTACCGTTTCCAAGCAGTGCTGTTGCGGGAAAGGTTTGACAAGATTGCTGCCTTAAAAGACCAACGTGAGTTTAACCGTCGTTTACAGGAAGAAGAAGAAGCTTTATTTGCCATCATACACCCAATACCTAAGAAGTGTAAGTATATTGAAACATTACTACTTTTTGTGCAGCTTGCACACAGTAGCTTTATAATGATAAAAACTATTTTATCTCAAAAGACTTAAATTGTTCTTTTTTTTTCTAAAAAATAATCCTTAATATAACTTAGAACTGTTTATGTTATGTTTACTCAAAGTGTATAAGATATTTCACTTGTCCTGTTTTATCTTTAATGTAAAGGCTATGCCTATATCGTAATGCTATTGTATTGCCTCACACACACACATACACACATTTAAAACTTAGTTAATATTTCATTCTATTATAAAATGTATACATCAATATTTTGCTTTTCATTCACAGTTGCTTTAAGCCCGGGTGGAGTTGCATACCAGCGAGTTGTGACACCTCCGGACTGGGTGTTGGACTACTGGCATCCCCTTGAAAAGGCACAGTACCCAGAATATTTCAAGCGAAGGGAAGAGCGTAAGAAAGAATTCGTTGCCATGTGGGAAAAGGAATTTGGCAAAGATGAAACAAAAGATAAACATCATTAATAATGATTGTTAGTTCTGAATTATTTTGTAAACATTAAATTAATTAGCTGTTGACAGGTGTTTATTTAACTAGGCTTCTTCTTACATCCTTTATTATGGAAATTTTGATTGAGTTGTTTTAGTTGCAATTGTTTTCAACTATAATAACATTTTAAGGGTACGGTTGTTAAAATTTTAATGAATTAAATTTCTATTTTTGAATCTGCATCTAATAATGTAATTCAACCAACAGATGGCGCCTTTAGTAAAAGTATTCGATGTCTTATGTCTAGCTATACTATCATCTTTTAGTAAAACTTAAATACAAATTTAAAAAAGGAAACGACAGTCAAGTTTAAAGATTTATTTAGTTGAAAAATTTCAAAAATATTAGATTCACCGATTACTTTGGTAATAAAGAGGAGCACTCGTAAAAAAAATAAAATATGCAACACTAATTATTAAATCACAACTTCACTTACACATGGATATCTAATTAATTAACTACAATAATTGAACGATGAGAAGTTTTAAATGAAACGAGCCATCGCAGTGTCTACGTATTATTGTCGGGAAGCGTCTGGACTCGAGAATAGTTCATAATACATTTATTATAACTTTATCTTGTTCTATGAGTCTATCGTGGATGCAGCGTCGTTGTGACTCAGCTGCGTTCAGTATCGGCGAGTAAGAGATTAGAAAGATGAGAAGAGTCGGGGCGAGTTCGATATCTAGGGTGAGTGGGACGTGGGGGTGGAGCCCGCAGCGCGAGCGGTTCTAGCGGCTCGACTTCAATAGGTGCTGCTGGAACATCTGCTGCAGCAGCTGCGAGTGCTTCACCGCGTTCCAAAGACCATTGTCGACGAAGCCCACGCGTGGGGCCAACCCCACCGCCCTCTAGTGAGGCGCTAAGGTACCGGTATCGGGGAGCGCCGTAACGTGGTGGTCGCGTGGCAGGGCTGCTCTCCGCAGAAGCTGTGCCAGATCGGGACCATGACTTTGACTGTTCCAACCCTTAAAAAAACACAGTATCAATTGACAATCATCTCGATGTGATAAATGTATACCCATTGTTGTAGATTGTTGACCGAAACGAGTAAATCAGTTCTAGACTTAAGGTTGAAATTGGTTTGTATGTGTAGGAAATATAGGTCTACTCTTGTTCATTAAAAAATAGTAATTCACTTTACCGTAATTTCCGCTAGATGGAGCGCAAGGGTCAGAACTTTGACGTTCTACTGCATGTGCACCAGAGGGCGCGGCACGAACAGATTGGTCAGAGGACTCGCTGTCATTTTCGCACTCTGTCTCGAAAAGCACTTCTTCAGATCTGTATCAAAATATTTAAAAATGGTAAATTGCCAATAAAAGAACTAATTCTCAATGGTAATTGTGACAGTAGTACACATTTAAATAAAACGGTTTAAAACGCGATCTATATAAGTTAAATTTATTTGGAAATTATTTTAACTACGTTTCGGCTGCACTCCCCGTGACCACGGCTGCTGCAAAGCATCCGAAACATCGGGCCGAAGTTAAAAAAAAAAAAAAAAAAAAAAAAAAAAAAAAAAAAAAAAAAAAAAAAAAAAAAAAAAAAAATCATTTTTAAATAAATTTAACTATATATATCGCGTTTTAAACCGTTAAAGTGTTTTATTTAAATGTGTCAACTTTACATCGCGTAAACTATAGACAGCTGTCTAATGGTAGTAGCAATGTATTGCTAATCGGCGGGTCGTGTTTATTTAAATAAGTAACTACTTACTCGAGCGGCGGAGGTGTCGGCAACGGCTTATCAAAACCCTCTTTGCCGAGCAGCCAGTAAGTGTGCATTGCGCCTTTGCCCTTCACTTGAGTGAGACCACGCGAACGCAGTCTATAACCACCAGCGGCTGCTAATCTTTCAGCGGTAGCACTTGATAGATGCACACGCCAGGCTGCACCAGTGGATTCCATTCGCGACGCCGTGTTCACAGTGTCGCCAAAAAGACAGTAGCGAGGCATAGTAAGGCCGACTACACCAGCACAGCACGGTCCCGTGTGCAAACCAATACGTAGGTGGAGGGGAGTTCCAGGTGCATGTCGAATACGAAAACGGCCTGCTAGATGCAGTAGATGCAGTGCCATTGTAGCCACCGCTTGCGCATGTTCCGTGTTGCGTAACGGAAGTCCACCCACTACCATATAAGCGTCGCCGATAGTCTCGACCTGCATGAACAGATGCAGAACTTAGTAATATATATAGTATATAAGCAATATATAGCTTCTAATCAATGGTTGGTTGGAGCGTCCCAACCGGGGACAACATTTTATCAATTTATAATCTTTCTGAGACATGTTGGACTTCTGCAAATCTCGATGTTAAATGGGTGGTCTAAAAATTGACAATCAGTTCGAATCAAGAACCACTGACTCGAATATCCGAAGCCAAAATACAAGACAGCGTGTTTAGATGTAGTTCTTCTTAGTCCTTCTCTATCATAAGAAAAACATAACTTGGTCTTGATCTCCTTATTAAAGGCCCTGCATGAATAATACAAGTACCTTATAGACACTATATTGCTCAATGGCGGCGTCAAAGGTTGTGTACAGATCATTGAGAAGATCAACGACTTGTACCGGCGTCGAACGTGCAGCAAGAGCTGTAAATCCAACTATGTCGCTAAAATAAATCGACACCTCCTCAAATATTTCCGGCTCCACGCGTAGACCCAAAACTAACCGGTCTGCTACGGACCTGCAGGAAAGTATTTTAAATCAACTTTAGCTTATATAACCAATTTTAATAATATGATGCCGAATAACTATTCCACGCGAACGAAGTCGTGGGCACAGCTTGTCATACTATAAGCAGTGGATTGTGTACAACTCAATCTTACTGAAAATTTTATATTTATATTAGTTTATTGCTTACTGTAACGGCAATGGCTTTAGCTAGAGCTAAGTTAGACCAAACGTAGGCTTCGTGCAAAAGACTTACATTAACTCACAAATAATTGTATTTACCTAGGAAGCATTCTGTTTAACAACTGTTCAGTTTTCTTTTTCTCAATATCTAATTGCTCTGTGCGTTCCTTAATCAATTCCTCTAAATTATTGCTATATTTTTCCAACATTTCGAACATTGAGTCCATTATGTTCACTTTGCTGAAACAAACAGTAGAATGTTAAAGAATCGTTTTTTTTTGTATACAATATAAATGACTGATAAACATGCGATCGATATTTTGGTTTAAAAAACATACCGTCCTCGATGCAAGTGGCGAAAGATATCATACAGCCGATTGAAATCAGGTCGTAGATCAGGCTGTTCACTCCAACACTGTCTCATGACGCTTACAGCTTCGGGTGGCGCAGCACCCATGGACACCGAAGGTCGGATCAACGGAGGAGGCCGGCATAGCTTTTCCACAAGTTCTAAAGATTAAATTCATTTACAGTTTATTAAACACTTAAAATAAACCTTTCAATTTGAAAACATATACACTTCCGTAGAAAAATCAAACAAACCTTCTGGTGTTAAAGACAGCATACAATAAGGCTCTCCTCGTACAATAACTTCTTGCATGATAATGGAAAAGGAGAAAACGTCCCCAGGCTGAGTACCGTAAGCTGAATCTCCTTCACGTAAAAGTTCTGGCGCAGTCCAAAGTAGATCTCTAGCAGCAACTGGACCGCAGGGTGTTGTGGTCAATGCTTGTGCACGCGCTAAATGTGGCTGCCCATAGTCAGAAATACGAAGCACCCATCGCGCGTCAACAAGGCATGTGCGAGAGGACAGTCGTCCATGCACACGCAGAGGTGAAGCATGTAGGTAACGCATGCCACGTACCAAATCGGTCAGCAATGAAAGACGAAATGCCCAGTCTAACTTTATTTCGTCTGCTACGAGCGCCGCTTCCAGGGTTCCTCTTCCAGCCGCAGCAAAGACAAGCGCAGGCCTAAACGTACAAAGGCACCCTGCGTATAATTTACCTTTTTTATTTTAAACCTGATTGTTTTGGTTATATAGTCAAGTCATGGACTACTTAGCTTACCAATAAAAGGGTTGATATTCTCATGTCGCAAACTTTGCATAACCAATAACACGTCTATTGATTTTCGTTTAAGTTCCAACGAGGCCACAGAGAAATAATTCATTTGAACCGGATCTCCCTGAAAAAATAACATGAAAGAATCTAAAAATCGTTTAGCCCTCAAAGTACAATCTCGTAAAAAAGAAAATATCGATAAAAGAATAGAGTTAGTATAAAGTAAGTATTGACTGTCACCGTTTACTTTGTATCGAATTTGGCCATCCGGTGGGAGACGCGTTACACTGCAGGTGGAAGAAGGCGCAGAAGGGGCTGTTGGCCGTTTGAGGAGATCGGGCTGGTCACGCTCGGAATGGTTTGGACCACTGGGCAGTTCATGTAACTGCTGTAGCCAACTTAGCATGCTCTCCATGCCTTCGCCGACTCGTCGTTGTTCATCCGCTGGAAACTCGAAATCAGCAGGAGATAAAAGAACGGCAGCACGAGGTCTCCTTTGCATACGTTTTGCCAGTGTACGCCTTGTTGCATATATACTGAGTACTATAGCAGCAAGACCTACGATTACTGCACCCACCACACACACTGTTTCTCCTGGTCTTCCTAGCACCCCTTGCTCTAGATAACGATCTTCGGTTGACGCTGCATGGTCATTACACCAAACATCAAAATCCTCATCACTCTCCCACACCACATCTGTATGCCAACTGTGATCTTCCGCTTGACTTGAATTTGTCAAGAACATTGTTACAGCAACCCATCTGGCGGTTCCATCGACCATTTTACTCTCATACAAATGGAATTTGTGTTGTATGCCTACAGTATTATTGTTACCTATTTCAAGTAAGTCTAGAAGCGTGTCATAGGTGTTTTTAACATCCACTTGTGCGTCCATTAATACAAAACTGTGAAGGTACCGCATAGGGTCGCGATTAAATAAAAATATATTTGTAGTCATGTTTGTTTCTCTATGTTTAGTACCATTTTCACTCAGTTTATCGCCTGCGGCCGGGTTCCCAAGTTGTTGTGATTTGTTATGTTTGTTGTTGTTTGTATACCTCACATAATTCGTTGGCGACGGAAAAGTTTCCTCGTTCAGGTCGAGGTCAGGCTTGACATTAACGATCTCAAAAAGCCGATTGTGTAACGGCGGGTCACGTGTAACTTGCGCGGTGGTGGAGCGGGATGAGGGAGTTTGTATTAAGAGTGCAATATTATTTTGCTCGTTGTTGGATGTGTCAATATCATTTTTTTCATCGGCGCAGAGGATAGAAGCTGAAACAAAAACTCCTCTGTAGGTTCTTATTGTTTGAAGTTACGGTAAGCTTTTGTCGGACTCGATGGTATATTTGTAGAATATATGGCTAATATAATAATCAACGGGTCGTGGGTTCGACCCCAACCGAGTCCAACATTTTTCTCATTAATTTATATTTTTTTCCAAAGCTTGTTGGAGTTCGTATGGTAACCTGGATATTAAATGGATGTTACGACTATCGAAATTCCACCACCATCTACAGATGAAAAAGCCGTCAAGTTTAATGACGGTTAGATTTTAGTCATTGCATTTTCGAATATCCAAAGCCAAAATAGGTCGACAGCGTAGCTTGGCTCTCTTTCTCTCGTATCATTTAAAAATTTAACAAGAAATAACAATCATATGGATTAACTTTGCTGTATGAACTCATTAAGATATACCTATAATTAGGTTAATTTGAATTTAGGTAAATACCTACATAGGACAACGAAAAAAAGCTATTTAAAACTTACTAAAAGGATCTTTATTGTCTTCATGGTGGAGCGAGTTTCGGCGTACTACTAATCCGGCGGCCAACAGCGCCGTTTGCGCCGCATCCAAGACCGCGTTACAGATATCGGTGTCGTTAGCGGTAAGCAACGGGTGTGGCGGCAAGTGGATGTGACGCCAACGTAAGCGAGCGAGCAAAAACGCAAGAGCAGCAGCATGCGCCTGTGGTCCAGTACATGCACGTAGCGCTGGAGATCTGTGAGAGTCTCCCTGGGGGAGAGGCAATCGCATAGCAGTGCATGCCAGGCTACCTGGCCATCCGACGGACTCCGTTGTACCACCCGAGACCATATTCTGCAACACCGCTGACGCAACACTTTCCCTCCAGTGCGATCCACAAGTTTCTGTAACCATACACAATCCTCCTAATGTTCAACTTGCTGACATGGGAGACGTTTTTTGCCATGTGAAGTATTTTGACGAAAATTGGTTACCATAAAACCGGTTGGTGAGAGTTAATCTTAAAAATCAAACATATTTAGTGTGGCAATCTTTTTTTAGATTATTTCAAGAACAATCTTTTATTTTGAGATTTTATACACATTTTTCACACAGGTATCTTGACCTGATTTCAGCACACACAACGGAAATATTTTTTTCAATTCGACCACGTAGTTCCTGAGATAATCGCGTTTAAACAAACAGAAAATTTCAGCTTTATAATATTAGTATAGATACGAAATGCCTTGAACAATTACATAGTATTATGGAATATCTATTCAGGTACTATGTATATTACATAATTATGTTTTACTCGCTACTTTGTAGTATGTATTTACTCATTAATTTTTCTACCGTAAGAACACTATAAGGTACTTACCGTTATAACTAAGTATTTTGAACTGCCCTGACAAAAGTTCTGCCTTTTGAATAGAGTTCGCGTAGCTTTGGAGAGTGCGTTCCTCGAAAATATGCCCATCGTTTGAGTTACACGCCGTACGGAGGACTAGTAGAAGTGGTTGTGTAGCCTGTTTGGAGGTGATAGGCGCCGCAGTTACAAGAGTATGTAGCGAAGAGAGAGTGGCGAGCGTGTGCAGAATGTAGAGCGTAGCGGGGCGCATGACCCGGGGCAGACGGGGGAATAAATGAGCCCCAGCGGGTCAGGCGGTAGAGTCCACACCTCCAGTCTGTATTACACACCTGACCGCGCCTTCATACGCCTGAATGCCCTGGATCAAACAGACTTCTGATACACAAATAAGTCGATCAATATTGTAAGTAGGTGATTTAATTCGCGGGGCCTTTGATGGCGTATTTTGTAGCGCTTGCAAAACTTTTGAATGCTAAATTATTTGAGTAGCAGTTTTATTATTATATATTTTCTAATCCCTTTCTAATTCTTTTATAATTATCGATTAGTTCAATGCCTAAACCTGTATAATAAAACACATATAAAGCAAAGTTATTTTGGAAAGGGTCTCTATTTAAACTTTATAATTAAACGTTTAAAACATTTCTTTATACAAACAATTATAATCCTTTATGTCTTACTAAGATAACTATTACAGACTTAAACTCTAAATAAACGTAATTCTATTGTATGTTGCAACGCAATTTTTATAAGAATTCCCTATTTATTTGTTTCGTGAGGGACTTATCCCTTCAAAGAGATTCTAATGCAACAGTAACATTAAATAAATAAATGAAGGCAGAACAAAAAGTAATGTCACTTCACCCAGGCAGAACGTGGTTACTAATTAATATAAAATTTCTTAAGTCTTGGGAAAGTTAAGTACCAGCAATAGAGTCCGCCAAAGAATTAATTTCACCTTAAGAGGATCTAATTTGAATCCAAAATGTTTGTTAAATTTTATTTAATAGTGATTTATATATATATATAAAAAAAATTGTGACAGTGTTTTTATAAATGAAATTTATCTTAAACACTATAACTATAATTAGACCATACTTATTATATCTTTAACCTAATTGTAGCTTTAAAACCTCGTATAAAAAAAAGCGTTTTATTATCGAAATATGCGAAGAATTTATCCTTTAAAAACAATTTTTGAAGCGACACGAAAAGTTATAGATTTTTACGGAAAATCTAACACGAACCTACCTACTCTAAAAATTAACTAATAGAATCAAATACTGTCTGTAGTTTACACGAGTAGTACACATTTAAATAAAACACTTTAACGGTTTAAAACGCGATATATTTTAGTTAAACTTGTTTGAAAATATAAAACTGAAATATTTTAAACCGTTATAGAGATCATTGAATTAAAGAATTAACCAATTAGAGATAATAAGAACTAATAATTAAGCCCTATACGAGATTTAAATACATTTTATTTATAGAAGTTTTGGTATAAAATGTGATCTATTAATAAATAAAATACTCGACATTCCTTGAAATATACTAATATGGTTTATAACTAATAATTTGTATACCTGGATTATGCGATGGGCTGTGTAGCTTTTCAGCTCGCGGTGCAAAAGCGGCGCGCATATTAAATCCTATTCGTTTCTAAGGTCTATGCCGCGAGACTGCCGCGTGTGGCCGCCGCGCGCTGCAATTTGGTCCAGGGACCGCGTCTGCGTACAACACACTCTTCAGCACAAACAATGCATTGGTATACAATACTAATCGACGAGTATCGCTAAGTAGTAAACAACGTAACGTAGATTTTGCGAACCATTTCCTTTTCCTATCGATTCATGTTTCTCGGGGATTCGAACTTACTACTACTACTAGTAGTGATAGTTCGACATCGAACTAGAATTATAGAGCATGCACTCTATGCACAACAGTGTTTGTCGCCAATTCCAATCCCACCTGTGTGAATGTAATATTGACTTATTTATTTTAATATTACTTAATACTGGCTGTGTCAGAGATTTCGCGTAGAATAAGTCATTATTGTGGACATCAAAATTTGTAAATTGTGTAAGGCTTTCACGGCCATCGTTCAGCATATCATTGTCTTTCGGGCTGTTCGGCCGATGTGAGCGAGAAGAGGTTCTCGACGTTTCGCCATCATTAGATAAATAATTTTCCCCGTTTTCTCCACATTTCCCGCTTTTTCTTCGCTCTTATTAGTCGCAGCGTTTTGAAGTCTTCCTCGATAAACACGAAAATAATTTTTCAATTCCAACCACAATAACAACAAGTTCTTGAGATTAGCATGTTCAAACAAAACAAACAACTCTTTAGCTTTATAGTTTAAACTTCTATTAGATTATACTGAAATCACGGACATTCCATTTTGTAAATACATTTATTTCGTAGAATAACAATATTATTATTAGAAATACAAACTATGTTAATCTATACTAAGTATAATTAGATTGTAAATTCTTTTTGGAAGATAAATCTTCCTAACAGATGTAATTTGTATTATACGTCTGTGATCTTTACTGACATTAATGAAAACAACAAATATGTTTAATAAAAGTGACATCTCTAGGGCGTTATTGACAAGCTCTATGGCACTTGTATTAATTCAGCAAGTAATTTCAAAATAAACCGTAAGATGTCGTGAATATGTTCTTTTTTTAATTATTTAAATAGTAGTTCCAATACAAACCGCAAGATGTCGTAAACAGTAGTATTTTATTTATTTAAAGAAGTAACGGTAATAAGCATCGATCACTAATAAACTAAAGTGTTTAGTGATCGATGGTAATAAGGATGTTTTACGTCTTTTGACTTAGGTAATTTGTATAGAGTTTACGTTGTGTGTATAAATTATAAATATTCAAATTTAAATAAACAAGAATTAATTTGTCACTTAAATTTAATGACTTGTACGATGTAAAAAAATACAAAACGCATTAACCCGGAAATTTTATTTATTCAGGTAATCTTGAAACTTTGATTGAATTTAGAATTCAGTGCCTATGAAGCGAACGTCCAAAGACCTAAAGAGTGGTTCCAGGTTGTGTTTTAGCCGTCATATTAAATTTGTCAGGTGTTGACAGGTGGTCTCGTCTGTGTATTTAGTTAAGAAACCTCAGTAATTATCAGCTAATGTATGGTAGAGAAGGTTTGATGGTAGCAAATGACTGATACACCTGATGGAAGAGCGTGGCACTAAGCACTAGCGCTACATATAACGGGGGAGGGCGGAGGCACGAATGCTAGGCTGTCAATTGGCAAGTAGCAGCTGGCAGGCAGCAGCACTCACGCGCAGTCCTCCGTTCAACGCGCGCATATCGCGGCACGGGACGCTGTACGCGATGCGCCTCATCACAACCGACAGACCATACAGCACACATGGCCACTAAGAGCGATTATCATTTCGGTAAGTTATCATGCTGGAAACACCTCCATACTTAGCAATCTCGCGAAGGAATGAGAAATTCAAAATTTTATTAACCTCAACTCCAAACCATGAAACATTGTTAGTTTTTAGAGCCCATGTTAGCTGAACATTTGTAAACAGTGCATATGTATAGTTATGTAATATTGTTTAACTAAAATTTTAGTTTTTAGGCTGTGGCTAAATTTAAAAAAAAAACATTAGACTGAGCTACGTAAAATTATGAAGGATCCACATCGGTTGAAATGTTGCGCCGGCGCTGGTGGTTTAAAAATTAATTGTTAACAGAATGATTTAATTTAAAACAAAAGTTATAAGCATGATCAGTCGTTAAAAATGTCTCGGCGAACTCTTGCCCCCGTTATCAGTAACTGTGTAAACTGTTCGGGGCGACGCGCGGAGTGCCTCAATACATGTCTCCTATTTTAGGGACACGGATATCGATTATTTTAGCAATTCAGTAATTCTCATTCAAAAATCATTAATACGGTCATTATTATTATGTATTACCTACTCTAGCTCTTGGCTTAAGTAACTTAAAAATGTTCTTATTTTATGTGGCGCTATCCTAGGCAATGGTTTTTCTTATATTATGAACAATAACAAGAATTTTATTGAATAACAGTTTTTTCTTTTTAACTAAATTAACATTAATGAACAATTTTCAGCTATTCATACATATTTGTAGGCCATTCTTAAACCCTTGACTTCCAAAACAAAATTAATTGTTTCACATATTTATAAACAAGGCACAACTTACAACAAAGAAGCAAAGTTAAACTTTTACTTCTTGATTTAAAGGCAGACCCTTTTTGGCTTAGTTGGATACGGAAAATTTAAAAGCTAAGTTAGTAAAAAACCATAAGGTAATAATTTATTTGTTACGAATGTATTTCTGTAATGTAAAACAATTTATTAAAATCATACTTACATAACTCTTTTTGTTGTTGTCGTATGTTACCATCACGATGTAAGGTTGTCACTTATCGTTATCAGTAAGTGTAGAACTTTGATTCGTCCAAGTTTGTATAATTAATCAAATTATAATTAAAAGCTTAGCTTATACGTGGCGTAATGTTCAAACGTTAACGGCGTAGCGTAACGAGAGGTCCGGGTTCAGATCCCGATATAAACAAATTATTGTCGGGGCACAAAGGTATTATCTAGGAATATATTCAATTAAGTCTACTCTACAGTTTGGCACTTTTCATTCTTTATATAAATAACTTCTACAAAATCCTCAGTCGAGATTTCATAGATTTTCCCAATTTTTTTGAATGTACAATGTTTGTTGAGATAAATCTAAAATACGCTTCTTCAAAATGTCTTTTACGCAAATTAAATAACTTTCGCATACTTACATAGTTTAATTGCGTTATAAAAGCTTCAAATGCACTTCAGTTATAATTTATTTTTTATGGTAGAGAAGTACCTACAGACAAGCGTAGAGTTCAATGTAGAAGATAAAATACGCCAGCCATATAAAATCTTAGAAAAATGCCTATTTTCGGCTCTGGATATTCGGAAATCCACAATCTAATTAAATCAGAAAAACTGTTAATTGATTAAAAACAACAACTACAAACAGACAAATATTCTTACCTAGGAGTCACTCTATAGTAAACGGATTTATCCAGACCAAAGGCAAAAGGAGTGGGCTTTTTCCATAATGGCGAAACCGCTTTAACACAAGCCTACTTACTTCTTGCAATAAGAGTAGGTAGGTCGCATTCAAACGCTAAGCGACCAAACTGCAATATTCCTTTGTTTATTAAATTATGACGTACTTCGAAGTTTATTACTTTACAGCGACCGAGTTCCTTCTGTATGTACGTACTATAATGAAAAATTATCGACCAACACATGTAATATACTGATATAACTAATTAAACGTACCAACAATTATTTGTAAATAATATTAATACTTTTAGATAAAGTTTTTTATAAAAAAGTAAAAACTCGCAAAGTATAGTCTGTTAAAGTCTATAGACTTCCATTGTATTATATTCTTTTTAAACGTGGTCTGTGATTACAGTATACTTTTGCAGCAGCTCCAATTTTGGCATATAATACTAAAAGTTGGATTTAGGATTGGGGAGGTTTACTATGTTAGCTTCCTTACTACGTCTAGACGTACCTACTTACATATGACCACATTTTCGCGTCTGTATGAAGCTTCTTCATCAAGTAAGAAAAACTAGACTTTAGTTTGTATGAACTTAATTCCAGTATCAATCTGATAAGTAGGGATTGAAACAAACAAGTACTGCAGAGTAGCGAAGAGATCAGAGTTAAAGTAGGGGGATATAAGATGAGGTTAGAGTAGCAAAATAAAGGAAAAATAGAACAAGAACAGAGGTCCAAAAAAGGGGAAAAGACAGAAGGAGACTTTAGTAGCAAAGTAGAGGGAAAACAGAAGAAACAGAGGTACAAAGTGGGGACGAAATAGAAGCAGCCTAGAGTATAAAAAAGAAGTAACAGAGGTCCAAAGTAGGGGCAAATAGGAGGAGACTAGAATGTAAGAGTGAGTTCTGAGCGTAAGCGTTTGCGGTTGCGGGAAGGTGCGGGGTGCGGTGGCGAGACACGCGGACTGTTATCATCCCGCGATTAGATAAAGCAAAACCGCTGAAAGTGAGCTGTGAGGTGGAGGCAGTAAGCGACTGCGCGTGCTCGGCGTGGCGCGGCTTCTTGCCGCTGACGACCCGACACCGCTGCTGGGTCAACTCCGCTAAATCCCGGGCAAGTGTCACGCCAGCGGAATGCGAAGGATGGGACTTCAAGGCGGTATTCGACAACACATCAATCATCCAAGAAAGCCAGTGTCTCCACGTTGATACGCCATTGTGTTGGAACTCACCACGACATACGTGGTAGATTTGAGATCTTTGGTTTCAAACAGCAAAGTCATCTCGGATTTCGAAGAACACTGCTTACATCCTGATACATCGAATGCGATTATGGTGACTGAACCCTTTGAACGTTTACGAGCTTCCGAAATCCACAACTGAGCACTGAACCTGCACCAATCGAAGTGCAAGTTCATAGCTATCTGTTCAAGTAGAGATCCAGTTGTAGAAGTTGGAATGTTATTCAAAACATTGGTGAGTTCCATATAATGTAATCCATTGACCGAATATATACTAAATACATATTAAATAACGCGTAGCTATGGCAGTTGACAGAGTGTAAGCGATAAGGCACTCGCCCTCCCCCCGACTTCCGCCCGCCACTGATAAGCGCATGCGCCATGGTAATGTTGCGCGCTAACCGTTACAAATACAAACACACGCCACTATACATCACCTAGTTCGGAGAAATGTAGTTAAACCTAAACCAACTGCTAACTGCCTCTGTAACTTGTCTGGCTTAACTTCGATACAAAATGTTTGATATTATTCTTAATTGAAATGGATTTTTAGAATAAAAATAAATCTATCAGTTATTTATATCCTAGGACAGCTTTTGGCTAACAAGAACATGAATACACATAACAATTAATAGCACTTTTAGTACGCGAGTACGCTGTATTTAAATAAAACACTTGTAACGGTTTAAAACGCTAAATCTATTAAGGACCACGATTGCTGCAATGCATTCGAAACGTCACTGTCACGTAGTTTTGAACATATAATTAAATAAGTTTAACAAATACATTTCGCGTTCTAAACCGTTAAAAGTGTTTTATTTCAATTACAATAGCTTTCACAAATAAATTGAATAAACTTGATATTTTAAATTGTATATTTATATCGGTCCCAGTTAAGTGTTATATATGGGTACTATGAACACTGACTAATGTTTCGGATATAGTTTGTCCTCTTATGACCACGGCTTCTAAATTGCATCAAAGTATACATACCTTGTCTTATTTGTTTTAAGGGTTTATACGCTTGAAGGTAATTATAATCTTATATGTTATTATTATGTAAGTATTTTTTGTTGGACAATTTGTTAAGGATTGTTTTTTAATAAAGTGTCATCTATTCAAATAAAACACTTGAACGGTTTAAAACGGGATATATTACGGGGAGACCCCCCATGACCACGAGCTGCTGCAAAGCATCCGAAACGTCGGGCCGAAGTTAAAAATCATTTTTTAAATAAGTTTAACTAAACATGATAACTCATAATTTTGAAAATCTACGTTCAAAATGGCTGGCGGGAATATCTAAAACTCTGTACAGCGATGAACGACGTATCACCGTTTACAGACAGAAAATTTAAGTGTAATTGTGTTTCAATTAGGGTCTGTGTCTTTCCTGAAAGGAAAAAGAGATTCGGACAGTTAAAAAGTTAACATTTTAAACCTAAATTCAGCACTAGCTTAACTATAAATTCAAATAAAAATGGGAAAATAAATAAATAAATTTTTTATGATAGAGGTGCTCAGACAGCCATATAACATCTATTTTGGCTTTGGATATTCGGAAGTCCAATGACTGAAACAGAAACGCAATAAAACTTCATGGCTTTTTCATCTGTGGACGGTTGTTCGTGATCCAGACGAAGTCCAACATTATTTCGGTGGACCTAGTGGGGATCGAGCCCACGCCCCTTGATGCACTGCTACCATTACACCAACAAACGCATCATATCGTTTTTCAGTACAAAACCATATCAACATTTCCTTTCTGCAAATAGGCTATGATTCTTATATACGTGTCTGACTTAACCCAACGAGCCTCCAAATACCTAGAAACAATATATTCTATGATATTTTTATCACTTGGCGTAAGAAACTAGACGGGGCGTAGTTAAAATACATACTAAACAAAAGCATGTGTAGTTAATCCGGTAAAAATTCATCTCATTCTTAAAGAGATGTATTTGTATCCGTTTTATTTAAAATGTTACAATAGCGTTTCAAACAAACCTAGTATTCTGTGTTAACAGGGGATGTGAGGGGTAAGCGGTGAGGAGGCAGGGGCGAGGGTCGGCGTACTGATAAGGCGCGACCTCCGGCCTGCACTGTAACTCGAAAATATCATTATAATAACAATATTATTATTATCTTGTATCATCCCATCTCTATCACTTTTCGTTTAATGTAATTCATTAAACACTTATTACAATGGTAGGGTCCAAAATGGGGGGAGGGTCTTCGAAGCTCGAACGTGAATTACAAAACTTATCAAATCGCCTTTTACTTATTTTTGTGTAACGTGAAACGACAGATACCCACAATTTTAATAAAACACTTTAAACGGTTCAAAACGGGGATATTTCCCTTGACCATGGACAGAGCATCTAAAACTTACACGCGTAAACTATAAACATTACTTGTACCTACCCCAATCGTGTACTAAGAAAAAGAATGTCAAGAGATGTGGAGAGCCGTAGCTAATATATTAAGTATTTCTAATTATATGTGATATACAAGAAGATCATGTTGTGATTAAATATTATTACTTAATCAATTCTAGTTATAACGTAGCTACTTTATCGCGATTACAAAGATGGAAATGTTGGTTGCGAAATTTTAGTTTTAACGAAACGATAGAAATTCTTCTCATAACAGGAAAAAGTGGAAAATATTGCAGTAGGCCTTTCGATGTAAAAACTTAATAAGGTACAAATTCTAATGTGCCTCAATATAACTACACAAATATATGTATAAATGTGTCTCTTTTATGTTCTTGATAAGAATGAAGTTTGTTTTTGATTCGGTATAACCTAAGAATAGACAATGAGAAGACACTAAGAATATACATGCACACCTAACCGATCACATTTCGGGTTTAGAACCGTTAAAAAGTGTTTTATTTGAACGTTGAGCTCAATGAAGGGTTTAAAACTTGAAATATTTGTTTTAATTTAACTACGGTCAGACGTTTCTACATATTTCGTATTTTAAACCGTTAAATATGTTCTATTTAATGTGTTCTACTATCGTCAACTACTTACAAGCGATACCTACTTAGTTACCATCTTACAGTATCAAAAATAAATAAATAAATTACAAAGCTATGATTTTCTTACCTGTACAAGTCATATCTAAATTTCGGCAAATAACGAAACGAAGACCAAAATACGACAAAATGGCGCTCATTGCATTTGTGGGTCATGAGATCATCGTCATTAGGTAGAGTAGGTAACCAATGGTTCCTCTGTGACGTACAATTTGAGCCGGAAATTAACGTCCGCTAAAATCGCTCAAAGGTTGAAAGAATGGGGATAGGACGGGATTCAATTCTATAATTACTATTAGGAATGAAGAAAAGCTAACTGATTAAAAAAAAAGTTCGTTCTAATTTTAAACACATCTTACATTTATAAGAACTACATATTTTTAAGCAATTGAATTTGAACAATAAGTATTTAAGCCAATATATCTGGCCATTTAAATAAAACACTTCAACAGTTTAAGGAGTGACGTACATAACTAAATGTTAACTTTTTCTGATGACTGTCTCGCGTGACCGCGGCTGCTTTAGTTAAAATAAATTGTAAATAAGTTACTATATATAACCTTGCGGCGGTCCAAGCCGAGGTCGATGCCCACCTCGGGGCACCCTTGGTCTAGCCGCAAACACGGTATTCGTAGCCCGGGGCTCAATACGTCAAATCCTCATAAAATATATATATATATATAATTTATTTGTGAAACTATTTGTGAAACTGTTAAGGATGCATTGTAACCTTATTTATTTTTTATTGTTATTCCCTAGCCACTTATGTAATGTATCTGTTTGTTTCCTTTTGCTAAATAAATAAATAAATAAATAAATAAATATATATATATATAAAAAAAAAATATATATATATATATATATATAATTTAACCTAAATTGTAACTCCTTAGATATTAATTGTTTATGACTGTAGGTTTTATTTATAGGCTTTATTAATATACACCATTTTAATGTATACTATATGTATATACGGTAGTATATTGCCTATATCGTACTATACTAACATACCTAATTATATGGTGTGTTTTATGGTTAGTGCCTAGCACGCGGAAGAGTGACGTTCCCACGACCTTCCGCGAACATTGTACCTCTGAAAATCGGTTCGTTTTAAGCCTATTGTTAGGACATTAATTTGGTACCCATTAGCTAATGATCACAAATCTCGATGTTGTTTACTTTAATTTTAAAAAACATAATCGCATTATCAAAAGAGTTAAAAGTAAGTCATAATATTTTTACTTAGATATCGTAGAACAACTTTCTTCTTCTGATCCTTTAGGTAGATACCGAAAAAATATATATGCGCAGATTTTTCCTTTTTTTTACTACTGTAAAAATGATAAATGATGATTTCTTATTGTGTTTTTTTTTCATTCGATTTAATTAAAGTAGGTAGCCATGTTTGTTAATTAAAACATTCAAGTTATATATTTACAGATATATAACTTCAAATAATGTTATTTTAAAAGGTTATAAGTAACTTTACCTTCTAATTCAATTAATACCTAAAAGATAACAATTAGATTCTTTTCTATCCGCGAAGTTGTGTTAGGAAAAAAAAGAAGCGAGTGACAGATGTTTTTTTATAAAAGTCATGTTTGTAGCTTGTTTCCTATGGTCCACTAGATATATTCCCAGCTAATCTGGTGACACGTGGTGGCCACAAACCCAACTCACAACATTGGATTAGCGAAGCTGTTTGTTTGTATTGGCACTCACAGCGGGCGACCAGCGAGCTCTCAGCGGGGAACCAAAACACACGCTTAGCTATACTCGGAAGCTGGAAAAACACGATTTACAACTCTCTTAACGCTAACGTGATAAAATTGATAGCTTCCCGGGAGACAACTAGCCGCCACTATGTCTCCGCGAACTAATTTCTAGGGATGCCCGAAACTCTGTAACTTTAACCGTATTTTCGCATTCGGCTTAAATTACCGAAACAAAAGCAGTGCGTAGGTGCAAGAACTAAGTTAATAAGTTATTTGAACAGCTTAAAAGTAACTTTTTATATTTATTTCATTCTTTATTGCAACACAAAGTATATATACATGTTTCCTTAAAAAATATTCTAATAATACAAGTTATAACGATAAATGATTCTTACTAGTTATGTATTGCCATGGGCGGCCTTATCGCTATAGAGCGATCTCTTCCAGGCAACCCTTTATCTGTTAGACGTTTGTATAAACAGACACATATAAGGAACAAGGAACATTATGATCATGAATCGTTATACTTTATCTGCGTAAATCTACACGGGCAAGTTCAGATCAAAACAGTAGCAAAGTAGGTAAGCTATGTCTTTGAACTATGTCTGGAGTCAAGTTCAATCATGATATTTTAACCCTATTCATTGATTTACATTTTACATAATACTCTACGGTTATTAAAGGAACAAACATTAACTGAAATTCGGTTACGGTTCACACCTTATCGGCCCATGTCTACTAGTTTCATAGAACTATTATATTTACACATTTGACGACATAATTATCTGCTGTTATTTATTGAGCTTTTTTGGCGCGTTCCGATTCCATAAAGCTTTATTTAACACGCTTTACCAGGTTGTGTTGATACGTTTTGACAGATTTATATGTCGACTATTAGGTTATCCGAGTTATTTAATATCTATAGTTAGTGAAAGAAACAATTTATTGTTTTGAAAAATTATTATTAAAGGAATGATAAAATGTACAAAAAATAACATGAAAAAAAACCACTTATATGAGGTTTACATGTGGCTTGTATTTAATCAAGATTTGTATAACAATACGATTTTGAACTAAGCAATATAAAATTAAACTTATTTAATTCCAACTGTTAAATGCTGCAGGAATTTCAATAGATTGGCAGATGTCTTTCAAATTTTAATACCCAAGTCAATAAAAAAAGTGAATTATAAAGGAATCAATAATCGAAATGACCATATAACTATATGACAGGCAATATCTAAAATTATTAAATTTAACATATCTACAGTTAATACAAAATCTTGCAAAAGTTGTTAATAGTAATCTATGGATTCTGTTAACATCTGTGCTCAACAGACGCACCACTTCATACTTGTACTAACATATTAACAATATCCGAATAGCCGATATAGGTCGACAGTGCGTCTTGTTTAGATGCTATAGGCTAAGGTATATCATATCATAAAAATAAGATATTAAGTCTGATATTAGTTTTCACTCGTGAGAAGTGATAAGCGTAGCACGTGGTTACTTATCACCAAGAACCACGAGGTCTACAAACGGTTAACGGTATAGAAATATAGGGGTTGTTAATTAAGACATAGTAAATGTTGGGTCACGGATTGACGTTAGATTTAACTAAATACTGTCTATAGTTTACGCGAGTAGTAGGTACATATTTAAATAAAACATTTTAACTGTTTAAAACGCGATATGTTAGTTAAACTTATTTGAAAATGAATTTTTAACTTCGGCCCGACGTTTCGGATGCTTTGCAGCAGCCGTGGTCACGGGGAGACGTCGGAGCCGAAGTTAAAAATCATTTTCAAATAAGTTTAACCAATATATCGCGTTTTAAACCGTTAAATTTTTTGACGTTGAATTTTGCTTCATCCGCCGTTTACAAATAACTTAATAAGTGACTTACGACAGCATGACAATGTGAAGGATAAGTGTTTTCAAGGTAAACATACAAAACATATGAATTTAAACTAAAAAATTATTATGAACCTTACTTGGTGAACCCATGGGGTTTTACTTTTGTCGATCATTAAATTAAACTGACCGTTCTAATAAAAAGTGCTCAACTATATTTTAAACCGTATATTAAAACTTCGAAGTAAGATCTATTTCACTTTTTTGTTTACAAATTAACTATTTTAATATTAGTTAGAATTGCTATTAAAATGACGTTTGTATGTGTGATAGGTACAATGTAATTCAATATTGTTGCAGTACCATAAACTATCCGTATTCTTTTGACACATAACACACCCATATCACGTTATTACCATAAAGCGTAAAGGTAACTTTCGTGTTCCAAAAATGGAATTTAATGATGAGTCCCCGATTCCCGATTGCGGCCTGGGGCGGAATTTAAGTGGGCGGAGCGAGGATGAGGCGGGGTGAGGGCCCAGCATGCGCGTGCGCACTCGGCCGATGTCAGTTGTGACCGCGTCGGCAAGCGCGTTGCACGTCGGGAACGTTATTGTATATAGGACACCAAGTGTCACACAGTTCTGTTACTATGTTGCACGAAGTTAGTGCGTGGCCCGGGATGGGCGCGCTCTGCAATTTACGCGATCGCACAGACTATACAAGCCTGGAGGATTTTATTGCTGAAGTCAATAACAATAACTACATGAAAGGTTAGTCTTAACATTAACATTGGTGCGTTGATAGTTAGGATAGATTTAAGACTGATTACAATTTCTAATCTACCCTCATATAAGGTATACCGTCTCACAAAGTAGCATTTTGTTTCTATTAATCTAATTATAGTACTTTTAAATATCTCGGCTACAAGAAATGTGTTATTTGCCAAATGTTCAGTTACATGAGTGGCTAGTAGTCAATGGTAATTGACAGTACGAGTAAATGTGGGCACTGGGTCGTGGGATGAGGGGTCTTGTGATTCGCGGCGCGCATGGACGGGGCCGGTGAGTGTCTGCGGAGCGCCAATCAGAGGGCGCACGCTTGCGTGTTTATGTGTGTAACCTTGTTCTTTGTGTGCAGAGGAGCGCGGGCAGTGCGCGGAGAGCCCGCCGGCCCCGCAAGCGCACGGGTGGGCCGGGTCGCCGGCGCAAGCGCAACGTAGCTACGAAGAGCTGCGGCCGCCAGTCGTGCGCGACATGCAGACCTACGCGCACTTAGAGGAGGCGCTTTTCAAGCCGGGCACTGGTGAATACCTGCCGCGGCGGAGCCCCGAGCTGAGCCCGTCTCCAGAACAACGGGATCGGGAGCCGGCCCAGTACCGGACGCTGCATTACGAACCCTACTCGCCAGCTCCGCCCTACCACCATGAACACCATCCCATGGACACGTGAGTACCTGTCATAAAAAAAATACTAACTGAAAAGGTCATTGACATTATATTTTAGAAATTTATACTAATATTTTATTTTAACTATTTCTCATATGTATCTACTGAAAATGATGAACCTATGAAATTCTTTCTATGGCAATGTTAGTTCTTATCGTATTTTTTAAGGGTATTATATATGTATTTTAGATTCACAGAATTTTAGGTGCAAACATTGTCTGACATAGGACCATTATCTAAAAAGTTATTAGATCTTATTAATAATATACCTATACAAAGATTTAATTGATAAACAATGACGACGTCGAGACAAGATACAAATTCTTATTATTTCTACTCTAATTCAACACCAAATCGTAACTAATTTGCTGAAAAAATTTTTTTTGTCATAATATGCTCTACGTCAATGAATTAGATAGCTAATTCAAATTTGATGTAATTAAATTGATACATTACATCTATTAATAATCGAATAGTAGTCTTAAATACGAGTCTGGTAAGACGAAACAAAATGAGATTTGGACTAAATGGTGTTTTAAAATCACACAATGTTTAGAAAAATACAGTCTATAAAAGTACTTTGAGTACATAATGACTGCGAACCGCAAAACCATATACGTAAATTACAAAAGAATGTTTGAGTTAGTTAAAATTATTGTGTTCAGAGCCAGAAAGAAGTTCGTAACGATGTTTCTCATTAAGTGACGTTGACAAATTCTGTATCCAGATTCTCTAAGCGATTAGTAAAAGTTGCTTCTTAGATTTAACATAAGGTATTTTCAGCAGACTCTGTTGCAAAACTCCTTTTAATATTCAATCAACATTTAAATAAAACGCTTTAAACGGTTTAAAATTAATAAATTTCTCGTTTTCAAACCGTTTGAAGTGATATAAATGTGTACTATTCACTTTAACTATAGACAATGCCTAGTTACTTGAAGTTTAATCAATTTTACCGCGCGTTATCTATTTTTACATTTCGTCCTTTACCAAATACCAAGTACATTATAGGTATTTAGATCATCTTTGATGTTTATACAACAATGTAACCGTCTTAATTATGTTATTTTAAGCCTTCTGTTGATAAGCTAGTTATTAGGTACTTCCAACAAACATAATTAACAAAATCAACAACGGTGAAACCAATAACATTTCTGTTAAGTGCTTTGTTTTAATTATTTATGAAATACACCTAACCTTGTTATGATAAACTATTTAAGGTTTTAACTGTAGTGTTAAAAAGAAGATCATTTTTCTTGCGTTGCAAAATTTTAGGCTATTTAATTATATTTTCCATTCGACCTTAAAGCTTGAATTTTAAAGGTCCGAATTATTGTTATCAACGATGTCATTGTTACCAATGATAATATTTATATCGTGATTAGCTGTGTCAGCGACTTCGTCCGTGTAGAAAAGTTATTTTGGCCATCCTTTGTCTTGCAAACCACCTCTTCATATTTATAAATTTAAATTGTTACTCAAGACTACGGCTGCGGTCATTCTTGCAAGTTAATCTTAAAATATAGAAATAGAGTGTCGCAGAATTTTTTTAGGTAATTTAAAAAAGGATTATTCTTTTATACATATTTTTTGGGCTTTCTTGAACCGTTGTCGCAACCTACGCGTCGAAAATCCACAGATATGAATTTTCTTCCCCGTTTTTTAAACATTTCCCGCTGTTTCGTTACTTCTTTTAGTCACAGCACGGTGTTTTAGAGTCTATAACCTTCCTCGATAAATGTTCTAACACAAAAATAATTGTTCAATTCGAACCAGTAGTTCCTGACATTAGCGCGTTCAAACAATTAAAAACAAACTCTTCAGCTTTAAATTAATAGTCTGAAATATATTTTCGTTCTGTGAAGCCACAGTTCAAATGGCCGTGATTCAGTATAGAAGAGGAGATAGTGAATGAGTAATATGTAAATAGAGATTGGACGCGTCGCTGATACTGACTGTATCAGCTGCGATAGAAGCTGGGATTGCCCTGGCAGGGCAGACGGTCTACAGCTGTATCACCCATATCGCTTGCACTTTTGGCTTTAGGATAGTAGTGAATGAAGATAGCGCGCTGTGCATACGATATCTCGATAGCGCGATATGCGTCTCCCTATTGTTTACAAACACCTTGTGTTTAATTACTTCTAATGGCATTTATTCATTAAGGAATGGTTAAGTACTTCAAATTAATTCGGCTAAGTGTGTGTTGGATTCGCGGCACCTCTTAATTATTGAATATGTTGATATACATATGTAACATACTAGCTGTGACAGCGACTTCGACCGCGTAGAATAGTTATTAAAGTCAAATGTGTTTTTGCAAACTTCCTCATCGTATATATGCTGTTACCTAAGACGTCGGTCGCGTTCCGTCATTTTTGTAGCTAATCCTAAAAAGCTAATCTTAAAAGTTTACCTTTAGTATTTTTTTTTTACATTATTTGACGTCGTACTACTATGTACCTAATATAGTCCCGTCTTAACCCATAGGATATGGAATATCGAAAAAAGACAGCATTCGATAATTTTAGGCTCATAATAATGACTCAAATGATTTTAGGAAATAAGAAATAAATTTGTAAAAGTCTATAAATTTCGGTTTAAAATACGAAAAGTATTAGTTAAATCTACAAATGTAACCTTGGCCCGTCGTTTTGTTTAAATGGTGTACTATAGGCGTAAATTACACACAGTATTTAAAACCAAAATACCTCGATGGTTCCCAAATTATTTTATCAATCATCATAAAACTTCAAATAGATCCGCGAAACAGTACCGGATCTGTACCGCACATCATGGGATTCCTTAAGCACCGACGAGCAAATATTTAAAGAAAACTCAACAAAGCAATGTTGCAATGGGAAATACAATAGAACTGAATTGAATTGACGACGGCGTCACGTAGAAGGCGACTCTCTTACGCGCTGAGCACGTTGCGTTGCGACACATTCCAACCGCCTCACGTCCACACGTCCACAACCTGTACAGCCTCTCGTACTTTTCCACATCGTTATCGTATTCCTATTAGCCAATCCTTCTGACCTTGAACCGTTTCATGGTTTGATCACGCTTAATCAAACACCGAATTCATAAAAAAATAAACCTTTTTTTTACTGATGGTGTAAAAACCGTACTCTTTTCGGAGGCGATAGATGACCAGAACCACTAGCCCGTTTTGCACTACTTGTTATCTGATAGGGACAGACTGAAAATCAGCGCTTAGCAAGCCTTGCTGAGCACACGATGAGTCTTGATGCCTTTTAGCACAAAGTTAAAATTGTACTTTTTTTGTATTCTTTTAATTGTAAGGTTTCTTTTTTATTACTTATTTTAATTGTAAATTATGTACTTTGTGATAATAAACGGATTATTTATTTGTTGCTTTCGAGTGAGCCCTGGGAACACGAAAAAATACCTACAGGAATATTTCTTTTACCACCACATTGTTCAAATGTTTACAGCAGTCGCGTTTCTACGCCCTGAATTCAAATTTCGACGAAACTGTATCTGAAGATTAACTAAATTTTTCAAGTGTAGTGGTAAATTTTTAATACTGAGTCGTAGTTACAAAGTAGTAATCTTATATCGTTTTAAAAGTGCTGTAGTTAACATATCAAATTGTTAGGTTTTGACTATTTTACCTGTATCTAGGTAACTGTATGCAAAAGGGGACATAAAAATACGCTCGTGATTTATAAGTTAACTTAACTTTATATGAATATAAAGTTTTGTTAGGACTCAATTCCGCAACACTTGTACCTATTTGCATGCATGCCATGAGCATTCTAGATACTTCTTGTACCTATGTCTCTTTTATAAGAATAATAACAATATAATTTGTATTAAACGTGGGCACCTAATTAGTGTTTAATTTAACTGGTTGCTATTATTGCGACCGTTCAATCGAGGCAATTCAAAAGTAATTAAAAGCGTTTTATTTATGTACAACGAATAAGCGTAGACTTTCCGCGGTTACCTACCAGACATTAACCAAAAATATAGTAGCATAATAAACAGATGTTTTTTTATCATCGATTTTTTCAGCAACAATTATTAGGATAGCTAATGAAATCGATAAGAAAATTGTTACTTTTAGTCTACTTTACGGAATAATGTAGAAATATTTGGATAATACTTATTACTATTTATGCAAACATTATAATCTTTATCATCGCCTTTTTGACCGCCTCAGTAGCTAAATGGTTAAACGTGTTGCCTAGCATTGCGTTAAGCGTGAGAGGTCCTGAGTTCGAATCCCGGGGAAACAGTAAATTGTTTCGGTCGGGGCAGGGCACAGAAGTCTGATCAACTACTTGCCTGTAATAAAACCGATCAGTGAAACGGACACAATAATGTGTACGCCCTATGCCCCACGCGGGGAATCAGGATTTTACATAATCTTTTTTATAATGATGGTGTCTGTAGAAATTAAATCGATATAAGATAGTATATATATATATATATATATAATTTGTATAATATATAGGAGATAAAATACAGGCAGTACAAATATGCAACTTGACAAGTGGCCTTATCCGCTAAAGAAGGAACTAACTTCTGAAACGCCGCGGCCAGCCCGTAGCTAAAATATTTTTTAAATAGGCTTAACTTATATATTTCGCGTTTTGAACTGTTCGATTTTTTATTTAAACTAGTAACTTCATTTAGAAATTACACAGTGATTTATGGTTAATATTTAATTATCAAGTTTAAATAATACGCATAGTTTTCGATAAAATTTTTCTGAAGAGATATGTTAAGAGTTCAAGTTTTGTATATTATAACTTATGTATAAGTTGTACTTGAAACGAGGCAATACATGAATGCAATATCTATTCAACTTAATTTTTAGGTTAGATTATAACCTTAAAAATATAACATAATTCGTTGGATTTGGTAGGATGTGTCACGCTGTCAGACGTTGCAGATATACCTACAGTTGATGTATCAAAATGCAGTAGTAATTTGTCTTTTTGTGTTTATAAATTCGTAACAATGCA